GCCGAGAGGCTCTGTGCAGAGCATGCCTGGGGACCCATGCCGAGAGGCTCTGTGCAGAGCACGCCTGGGGATCCATGCCGAGAGGCTCTGTGCAGAGCATGCCTGGGGGTCCATGCCGAGAGTCTCTGTGCAGAGCATGCCTGGGGGTCCGTGCCGAGAGTCTCTGTGCAGAGCATGCCTGGGGGTCCATGCCGAGAGTCTCTGTGCAGAGCATGCTTGGGGGTCCGTGCCGAGAGTCTCTGTGCAGAGCATGCCTGGGGGTCCATGCCGAGAGGCTCTGTGCAGAGCACGCCTGGGGATCCATGCCGAGAGGCTCTGTGCAGAGCACGCCTGGGGATCCATGCCGAGAGGCTCTGTGCAGAGCATGCCTGGGGGTCTGTGCCGAGAGGCTCTGTGCAGAGCACGCCTGGGGGCCTCATGCTGAGAGACTCTGTGCAGAGAATGCCTCGGGGGTCCGTGCCGAGAGTCTCTGTGCAGAGCATGCCTGGGAGTCCATGCCGAGAGACTCTGTGCAGAGCACGCCTGGGGGCCTCATGCTGAGAGACTCTGTGCAGAGCATGCCTGGGGGTCCATGCCGAGAGTCTCTGTGCAGAGCATGCCTGGGGATCCATGCCGAGAGACTCTGTGCAGAGCACGCCTGGGGGCCTCATGCTGAGAGACTCTGTGCAGAGCATGCCTGGGGGTCCATGCCGAGAGTCTCTGTGCAGAGCATGCCTGGGGATCCATGCCGAGAGACTCTGTGCAGAGCATGCCTGGGGGCCTCATGCTGAGAGACTCTGTGCAGAGCATGCCTGGGGGTCCATGCCGAGAGTCTCTGTGCAGAGCATGCCTGGGGATCCATGCCGAGAGACTCTGTGCAGAGCACGCCTGGGGGCCTCATGCTGAGAGACTCTGTGCAGAGCATGCCTGGGGGTCCATGCCGAGAGGCTCTGTGCAGAGCACGCCTGGGGGTCCGTGCCGAGAGGCTCTGTGCAGAGCATGCCTGGGGGCCTCATGCTGAGAGACTCTGTGCAGAGCATGCCTGGGGGTCCATGCCGAGAGGCTCTGTGCAGAGCATGCCCAGGTGCAGGCGGGTCAGGGCAGTGTGGGGGGGGCATCTGTCCTCCAGCCTCAGCATCAGCCTGCACACCCCTGCCCTGGACACCACTGTCCCAAGGGCTTCTCTGGTTTCCAGGCATCCTCTGCAGCTGGAAGTGAAGGGGTCATGGTGGGCAGGGAAGGTAGCAGAGGGAGCTTGTGTGGTGTGGGAGTATGGGGGGTTGTGGGGTCATGGGGTATGGGAGTATGGGGATTGTGGGGTCATGGGGTATAGGAGTATTGGGGAGTTGGGTCATGGGGTTTGGGAGTATGGGAGGTTGTGAGGGTCATGGGGTGTGGGAGTATGGGGGGTTGTGGGGTCATGGGGTGTGGGAGAATTGGGGTTGTGGGGTCATGGGGTGTGGGAATATGGGGAGTTGTGAAGTCATGGGGTGTGGGAATATGGGGGTTGTGGGGTCATGGGGTGTGGGAGTATGAGGGGTTGTGGGGTCATGGGGTGTGGGAGTATGGGGGGTTGTTGGGTCATGGAGTGTGGGAGAATTGGGGTGCGGTCATGGGGTGTGGGAATATGGGGAGTTGTGAAGTCATGGGGTGTGGGAATATGGGGGTTGTGGGGTCATGGGGTGTGGGAGTATGGGGGTTGTGGGGTCATGGGGTACAGGAGTATGGGGGGTTGTGGGGTCATGGGGTGTGGGAGTATTGGGGTTGTGGGGTCATGGGGTGTGGGAGTATGGGGGGTTGTAGGGTCATGGGGTGTGGGACTGTGGGGGGTTGTGGGGTCATGGGGTACAGGAGTATGGAGGGTTGTGGGGTCATGGGGTACAGGAGTATGGGGGGTTGTGGGGTCATGGGGTGTGGGAATATGGGGAGTTGGGTCATGGGGTATGGGAGTATGGGGGGTGTGGGGTCATGGGGTATGGGAGTATGGGGGTTGTGGGGTCATGGGGTGTGGGAGTATGGGGAGTTGGGTCATGGGGTGTGGGAGTATGGGGGGTTGTGGGGTCATGGGGTGTGGGAGTATGAGGGGTTGTGGGGTCAGGGGGTGTGGGAGTATGGGGAGTTGTGGGTCATACGGTGTGGGACTGTGGGGGGTTGTGGGGTCATGGGGTGTGGGACTATGGGGGTTTGTGGGGGTCATGGGGGGAGGTGGCAGAGGAAGCTCATGGGGTATGGGAATATGGGGGGGTTGTGGGGAGATTGGAGTTCAGGGGATGAAGAGCCTGGGGAAGAGCTGAGGGGCAGGAATATGGGAACTTATGAGGTAAGTGCATGAGGGGCCTGGGGAGATGGGAGTTTATGGGACGAGGGTGTGGGGGCCTGAGAGACTGGGGACTTAAGGGGTGAAGGTGTGGGGCCCAGGGGAGATGGGCACTCTGGGGAGATGGGAGCCCAGGGGAGACGGGAGCCCTGGGGAGATGGGAGATGGGAGCCCAATGGGAGCTCTGGGGAGACTGGAGCCCTGGGGAGATGGGAGCCTGATGGAGGCTCTGGGGAGACGGGAGCTCTGGGGAGATGAGATCTCTGGGGAGACAGGAGCCTTCGGGAGACAGGAGCTCTGGGGAGCTGGGAACCCAATGGGAGCTTTGGGTAGACGGGAGCCCTCGGGAGAAGGGAGCTCTGGGGAGACGGGAGCCCTGGGGAGACAGGAGCTCTGGGGAGACGGGAACACTGGGGAGATGGGAGCCTGATGGGAGCTCTGGGGATATGGGAGCTCTCGGGAGACAGGAGCCCTGGGGAGATGGGAGCCCTGGGAAGACGGGAGCTCTGGGGTGCAGGTGTGAGGCCTGGAGGAGACAGGAGCTCTGGGGTGGAGATTCGAGGACTCGGGTGAGGGTGTGGGGCCCGGGGAGATGGGAGCTCTCGGGAGATGGGAGCTCTGGGGTGAGGGTGCGGGGGTCTGGGTAGATGGGAACTTTGGGGTGAGAGTGTGGGGCCCAGAGGAGATGGGCACTCTGGGGCCCCTGGAGGCTCCAGTGAGGGTTACAGATCCTGTTCTTAGTGCCCAGGAGGGTGTTTTATGACAGCTTCCAATTCTTCATTGTGGAGCTGACTCTAGGGTTGTGAGTGGGGCAGTTTGGGTCTGACGCAGTGGAAGACGCTGGCCTTGGAGTGATGCTCACAGCCTGGTTACCAAGACGTCTGCTTCAGCTTTGAACATCCTGTGCCTGGGAGTCCTCTCGGTCTGCTGCATGGCTGTTCCCCTGCGGGTCTGTGTGGATGCAGAGGACAGGAGGCAGGTGTGCCACCCCCACGCATAACCTCGTAGGAAGGGTTGGCATCCTGGAGCCAGGATCACGTGGTGGTGCCGTTATACACCTGTCAACCCACCCTGGTCAGAAGGGAATGGCGTGGGGTACAGCGTCTGCACAGGCATGGGAGGCCCCCCAAATCCTGCCCTGCCTGCTGCTGAAAACAGCCCGCCAGGCGCGGTGACTTATGCCTGTAATCCCAGCACTTTGGGAGGCCGAGGCGGGCGGATCACGAGGTCAGGAGATCGAGACCAGCCTGGCCAACATGGTGAAAGCCCGTCTCTACTAAAAACACAAAAATTAGCCAGGCGTGGTGGCGCACACCTATAATCCCAGCTACTCTGGTGGCTGAGGCAGGTGAATCGCTTGAACCCAGGAGGCGGAGGTTGCGGTGAGCCGAGATGGTGCCACTGCCCTCCAGCCTGGGCAACAGATAGAGCGTAAACACCAGGCCACAGGCACAGCTGCTGATGAATGCGCCGAGTTCACCCCATCCCTGTTCTCACTGTCTGACCGTGCTGCCTCTTTCAGCGTCGATGTGTGCAGAGAAAATGGGGATCTAGCAATTAAGGATTTCTTTTCTTCTGTCCAGCTCATCACATGTCCCATCCGGGCTAATTAGACATCTCACTTCTTTGTTTCCAAGGTAATTTCAGCAGCAGCAGATTTATTAGCTGGTTTAAACCTGAAACAACAAGTAAAGTAGCAGGATATCCGTTCTGCTCTGTTGTTTGAAAATATGTTTCACACTGAGTTATTCATCCCCGAAGGCCTCGTCTTCTCATAAATCTAGCACCGAGGATAACGATGCTCAGTGTCGAGTGTGTCTGTCTGAAGAGCGGGGACATGGGGTCTGCTGCGCCCAAGTCCTGGCTGGCGCGGCATCCCCAGAAGGAAGGGCTTCTTCCCTTCTCAGGGTGAGTGCAAAGCACTTCGTTGTAGGGAGGATGGGGAGGGCCACCGACCCGTCGCAGCCACTGGCGAGGCAGACATCCTGCGCACCCCTGGGCTCTCCTCTCACCCCGGAGACTTCGGCTCACAGCCAGATTAACAAGCCGTGTGGCTCTGCCTGAAGACAGCTGTGTGGCCCCAGCTTTACAGCCATCCCAGAAGCATGGAGGGGCAGGGCCAGGCCCAAGGACCACAGTGGTGCCTCCATGTCACACAGCCCTCCCCTGGGGAGCAGGCCAGGGCTGAGGAAGGGGTCGAACTGGCTTTCAGGCCATGGCTTCTGTTCTCCATGGTCTCCTCTGCCTGTGTTAGGGAAGAATCTTGCCCATGGCACCTTCCTATTGGCAGAGTGTGGGTGACCTGGGCGGTGTCCTCTCTGTCCAACCCACAGCAGAGGCAGGAGCTGGAAGTGGCTTCTTCTGACCCTGCTGGGCACCACCACCCCTGTGTGCACCAGGGGCCCCGGTGGGACAGCACAGAATGGGGTGCCATGCCAGGTGGCCCCACTCAGCTGTGCCGGAGCACACAGACCCTGGGGCCCATCAGGAAGGGGTCTCCTGCTGGCAGCAGCTCGGTGTAGCCGGCTGAGCCGGGGGCCTCAGGCTCCTGCTGTCCGTCCAGAACACTCGGCTTTTGCTTCCGGTTTCAGAGCCCGGAGCCCGGAGCCCGGAGCCCGGAGCCCGGCAGGGCTGCCGCCGTTTCTGTGCTAACTGCAGACCCGTGTCCTGCCACCTGTGTGACTGTGTTCTGTTCTCCTTGTAGATGGAGGAGATAAAATTTAAAGACAGAGCAGTCTTCGTGCTGGAGAGAGAGTTAGGGGTTCAAGCCGGGCATGCTCAGAGACTGCAGCTCCAAAAGGACGCTCTAGATGAGCAGCTGTCCCAGGTCCGAGAGGCCGACCGGCACCCGGGCAGCCCCAGACGGGAACTTCCTCATGCAGCCGGTGCAGGAGACGCTTCAGACCACTCGGGAAGCCCTGTAAGCACCTCCCAGCCCGCTGGCCCACCCGTGTCACAGACAGGCCCAGCCACGTGGCTGCACGGCCCTGCATGGCCACTCCCCCAGGAGCCAGGGCCCAAGTCCAGCCAGCACCCTCCTGCCCCGGGCACCTCCCACCCAGCCTGGCTGGCAGACTCAGCTCCCTTTTTCCTGTCAGCACAGCATCAGCCCCAGCCTCAGGCTTCTGCTGCAGTCCATGGCCCTTGCTGGCCCGGGGTCTGGCCCTGGGTTGGTGGGAGGAGGCTGTGCTGGGCATGCGCTGCCGCCATCTCCATGCACACGGCCTCGCCTCTGGCCCGGGAAGGCTGGCGCACTGGCTCTCTGCCCGCTGTGTGTCCCTCTGGCACTCACATCACCAGTCACCCTCCCACCTGCTTCTCATGTGATCCTGCCATGCTCTACTCCATCGCTTGGGGCCTGCCGACTGCCCCGGGCTCAGTGCCACCCGCTTCCTCACTGCCACTCGGCACTCACATCCTCTGTCGTGGTTCTGGGACACCCTGGGGGATCTGAGATCCAGGGACCCTCCGGCTGGTACTTCTGGGTCTTTGACCCCGAGCCTCTCCTGCACCTGTTGAATGAGGAACTCGAGTCGGGCCCAGGACCGCCCTGGATGCCTCCTTGTTGGAGTTGAGGACAAAACTGTGTGAGCTGAGTCGGTCCTAGGACAGCGACATTTCAAAAATAGAAAATATTAAGATCGCATTAAAATGTTTCCACCGATTTTTGAGTGAAGTTCCAGGGGGTCCCAAAAGCGGCCCTTTAGAAACCCCATTGGAGGGAGGTTGCCTCTTACTTCTGAAAGGCTCTAACAAGTGTCTTTCCCGCGCTCGTGTCATCGTGCCAGAGAAATCCCACCTCGCTGGTAGGGCACGGCACGGCGCACCCTCCTGAAGGGCAGTGGCAGGGGCCACGCAGAGGCTGGGAGCTGGCAGGCGTCTCCTGGGCACCCACACTCACGGTTTCTGCATTTGCACGCCCCCCATCCGTGTACTTCCCAACCATCTGCTCCTTTCCATGGTGTACTTCATGTTATTCTAAGTAGTTGTTGTGTTTGAGGCGGGGTCTCACTCTGCCCCCGTGGGTTCTGCCACCTCACGCAGTTGCGGTGACCATGGCACCAGGCCAGGTGCCTTCCCCTGAGGGCCCGAGCCTGCCCGGCGGCAGCGTGGAGGCAGAGGCACGTGTTCTGTTGCAGGGCTCTGGTCTCCGTGGCGTGCTGGGACCTACACAGGCTTCCCAGGTCCATGTGGGGACAGTCGCGTGCTGGGACCTGCACAGGCTTCCCAGGTCCGTGTGGGGACAGTTATGTGGGGACAGTTATTTGCAGTTGACTTTGTTTCAGGAACAGCAGTTGGATGAAAAGGACGCCCGGCGCTTCCAGCTGAAAATTGCGGAGTTAAGTGCCATTATCCGCAAACTGGAGGACCGCAACGCCTTGCTGTCAGAAGAAAGGAATGAGCTGGTGAGTGCGGTCCGGGGCTTCTGGACCCGGGAGCTTGTGACTGCAGAGTCGAGGGGAGGGGGGCATCCACTTCCAAAAGTCCTTGTGAAAAGGAGTGGTGGTTGCCAGGCCTGGATTTGCGCCGAAGCCTCCTGATGGGTCCAGTTGCATTTTATTAGCAAACATAGGTAGTGGCCAGATTTGTCCCTCAAGGGCTGGCTGAGCAGTCCCTGCGCTGTGTGAATGGAGGCAGGAGCCTCCTGCGTTCTGTAGATGATCTGGGTGCAGACGTGGCCCCTCAGAGGGGCTGTCACTACCGGTCCTTAAAGCCACCAAGATTTCCAGGTAACCTGAGGTTCTGGAGGGCGTGTGAGCTGTCACGTGTCTGCAACGGTCCAGTGGGCTGTGCGATTTTACCACAGCCCTTCTTGGCAAACAGAGAGCTGGCCCCAGACTGCTCATCTTCATCCCCATCCATCGACGGGAGAGGGGACTCCGCCTGGGGACGCCCAGCCCAGCCCAGCCCCGAACGTGGGTTCACCCGGCACAGGGCAGTGGGCACTGCTTGGAGGTGTGGACTTTCCCAGCAGAGGGTTGGAAACCACATCGTTGCAGCCAGAACTCCGGTCAGTCTGCGACGCTGTGTGGAGACCTGCTGGTTCTCTGTGACTTAAACAACAGCCACGTCGTGCGGTTAATTTTGTCTTTCAGTTAAAGCGTGTGAGAGAAGCAGAGAGTCAGTACAAGCCACTGCTGGATAAAAACAAGCGCCTCAGCCGGAAGAATGAGGATTTGTCTCACGCTTTACGCCGCATGGAAAACAAATTAAAATTCGTCACCCAGGAGAACATAGAGATGGTGAGGAGCTGGGGCGTCCGTGGGGCCATGGCGCACCTGAGCTCGAAGGCAGCAGCCCCTCCCTTCTCCACGAGAGATTCAGCATAACAGCCAGTCCCCCGTGTCATAACAGCCGTCTGCTGGAGTCTGGCCTCACGCACGTCTGAGGGAGAGCGAGCGCCAAGCCCAGCTCTGGGGAGGGGAGCCTTGGAGGAGGCCCTGACCATGGGAAGGAGGTGGCTGTGGGGCATCCCCTCCCCATACCTGTTTGCCCACATCTCACTCAAGGGCCTGGGACAGGTGGCCTCCAACTTGGAAAATCCTGGGTGAGGGTAGTAAGAGGCTGCAGGGTCCCAGTGGTTAGGGAGGAGGGAGGCCTGGCACACAGCACTGAGCAGGAATCAGGGGCGGGGAGTCTCTGCTCCCCCAGGGCCACGAAGCCAGGACTGGGGGACCATCAGCTGGTGTCGCCATGTTCCGCTGCCCTGAGGACCCTGAAGGCCATGAAGCCAGAGCTTACGACACAAGTCGTTCAGTGGGACGTGGGGGAGGAGGGCGCTCCAGACCCCTCTCTACTGAAGTCCCCTTCTTCACTGAGTTACAGTCAGGAGGGATTTGGGAGCGGTGGCGGGGTATGAAATGGGCACACAGCCCGGTGCCATCGTCAGGGCACTGAGCGATCCCATCCGTGCTTTCTGGGAGCCCAGCAGGGCCCGTGTGTCCGTCCAGGCTGCACAGACCTGCCCCTGCTGCAGGCCTGGGCTCAGACACAGGCTTCATTTCCCGGGACTCCGTGGCTCGGCTGCTCTGGGGCCTGAGGGGAGGCCGCGGGCCCCACCGCTGAGAGGCGAGAAGAACCGCCCCCCAGCCACCGCCCACCGTGTCCAGCCAGACACTTCACCCCTGGACTCCTGATGTGGGCTGCTTGGTGTTTCAGAGACAGAGAGCCGGAATTATACGGAGACCCAGTTCCTTGAACGACCTTGATCAAAGTCAGGATGAGAGAGAAGTCGATTTCTTGAAGCTTCAGATTGTGGAGCAGCAAAACCTCATAGACGAGCTTTCTAAGGTACCTGGGGCTGGGGCCCCGTCCTCTGGCTTCCACGGGGCTTGGCTGACAGGGACCCTTAGCAATTCTGTAACATGCTGCCTTCCTTCCCTAGACCCTGGAGACCGCTGGCTATGTGAAGAGCGTGTTGGTAAGTACGCTGAGCGCCACCTTCCCCAGCCCCTGCGTCCCGCGCCGTCACCCACCCATGGGACCCATTCTGTGCCCAGGGCTCCTCACAGACCACACAGAAGCGGCCACAGCCACCTTTTGGGTGGATTTTGCTGTCGCAGCGCTACCTGGCCGAGGCTGTGTGCAGAGGGCTAAGGCGCCCTTTGGTGTGGGTCAGACAGGAGCCAGGAAAACCGACCTATACCCCAGCTGAGACGGCACCAGCTTGGGACCATCATGTTTCTGAGTTACCTGCCAGGGTCAGGGCTGCCGTCCTGCGGTTGCTCACCTGGCCAGCACAGGCAGGCAGCCGCATCCCACGGGTTCACCCTCACAGCCATGAAAGCACAGCGTGGCTCCCCTGCAGAGCAGCAGGGCACCGTCTCCTTAGTGTTTTAAGGGTGTCGGTCCCCACACAGATGTGGATGCCCCTCCTGCAGGGTCCAGAGGAGCCCTGGCCATGAGACCCCTTCCAGCTTCCCACAATTATGTGCCCCCAAGTCACCTGCCCCATGTGGCCCCTGGACACATTCAGAAGGGAAGCCGTTGCACCACTGAGCAAGACAAGCTCAGAGCCCACCTAACCAGGGAGCCGGCTGGGGAGCCGCCCCTGTCACCCTGCAGACATGAGCTCCCCAGGCAGCAGAGCTAGAGCTGGGCCTCCTGCTGTGGTGTGGGGACAGCCAACAAGGACACTGTCTTCACCATCACCCAAATGATGGCATGGGGACATTACACTCTGGACCTGAAACTGCTGGAGCTGCTCCACCACTTACACAGCCTCTTCCACTGGCTTCTGCAGGAGCGGGACAAGCTGTTAAGATTTCGGAAGCAAAGAAAGAAAATGGCAAAACTTCCCAAGGTGAGGAAAAGGTCTCTGGACAGTACAGCCAGTGTGTGCCAGGGAGGGTGCCGGTGTGTGTGCCAGGGAGGGCGCGTGTGTGCCAGGAGTGCCGGTGTGTGTCAGCGAGGGTGCCGGTGTGTGTGCCAGGGAGGGTGCCAGTGTGTGACAGGGAGAGTGCCAGTGTGTGTGCCAGGAGTGCCGGTGTGTGACAGGGAGAGTGCCAGTGTGTGTGCCAAGGAGGGTGCCAGTGTGTGTGCCAGGAGTGCCAGTGTCAGGGTGCCAGTATGTGTGCCAGGAGGGATGCTGTGTGTGCCAGGGAGGGTGCCAGTGTGTGTGCCAGGAGGAGTGCCGGTGTGTGTGCCAGGGAGGTTGCCAGTGTGTGTGCCAGGAGGGGTGCCGATGTGTATGCCAGGGAGGGTGCCAGCATGTATGCCAGGAGGAGTGCCGGTGTGTGTGCCAAGGAGGGTGCCAGTGTGTGTGGGGAGCGCCGGTGTGTGTGGAGAGGGGTGTGCTGGTGTGTGTGGAGAGCGCTGGTGTGTGTGGAGAGGGGTGTGCTGGTATGTGTGGAGAGTGCTGGTGTGTGTGGAGAGCGCTGGTGTGTGTGGAGAGTGCTGGTGTGTGTGGAGAGTGCTGGTGTGTAGAGAGGGGTGTGCTGGTGTGTGTGGAGAGTGCTGGTGTGTGTGGAGAGGGGTATGCTGGTGTGTGTGGAGAGTGCTGGTGTGTGTGGAGAGCGCTGGTGTGTGTGGAGAGCGCTGGTGTGTGTGGAGAGCGCTGGTGTGTGTGGAGAGTGCTGGTGTGTGTGGAGAGTGCTGGTGTGTAGAGAGGGGTGTGCTGGTATGTGTGGAGAGTGCTGGTGTGTGTGGAGAGCGCTGGTGTGTGTGGAGAGCGCTGGTGTGTGTGGAGAGCGCTGGTGTGTGTGGAGAGCGCTGGTGTGTGTGGAGAGCGCTGGTGTGTGTGGAGAGCGCTGGTGTGTGTGGAGAGCGCTGGTGTGTGTGGAGAGCGCTGGTGTGTGTGGAGAGTGCTGGTGTGTGTGGAGAGCGCTGGTGTGTGTGGAGAGCGCTGGTGTGTGTGGAGAGTGCTGGTGTGTGGAGAGGGGTGTGCTGGTATGTGTGGAGAGTGCTGGTGTGTGTGGAGAGTGCTGGTGTGTGTGGAGAGCGCTGGTGTGTGTGGAGAGTGCTGGTGTGTAGAGAGGGGTGTGCTGGTGTGTGTGGAGAGCGCTGGTGTGTGTGGAGAGTGCTGGTGTGTGTGGAGAGTGCTGGTGTGTAGAGAGGGGTGTGCTGGTGTGTGTGGAGAGTGCTGGTGTGTGTGGAGAGGGGTATGCTGGTGTGTGTGGAGAGTGCTGGTGTGTGGAGAGGGGTGTGCTGGTGTGTGTGGAGAGCGCTGGTGTGTGTGAAGAGCACTGGTGTGTGTGGAGAGCACTGGTGTGTGGAGAGGGGTGTGCTGGTGTGTGTGAAGAGTGCTGGTGTGTGTGGAGAGTGCTGGTGTGTGTGGAGAGTGCTGGTGTGTGTGGAGAGTGCTGGTGTGTGTGGAGAGCACTGGTGTGTGGAGAGGGGTGTGCTGGTGTGTGTGGAGAGTGCTGGTGTGTGTGGAGAGGGGTATGCTGGTTTGTGTGGAGAGCGCTGGTATGTGTGGAGAGTGCTGGTGTGTGTGGAGAGTGCTGGTGTGTAGAGAGGGGTGTGCTGGTGTGTGTGGAGAGTGCTGGTGTGTGTGGAGAGGGGTATGCTGGTGTGTGTGGAGAGTGCTGGTGTGTGGAGAGGGGTGTGCTGGTGTGTGTGGAGAGCGCTGGTGTGTGTGAAGAGCACTGGTGTGTGTGGAGAGCACTGGTGTGTGGAGAGGGGTGTGCTGGTGTGTGTGAAGAGTGCTGGTGTGTGTGGAGTGTGCTGGTGTGTGTGGAGAGTGCTGGTGTGTGTGGAGAGTGCTGGTGTGTGTGGAGAGCACTGGTGTGTGGAGAGGGGTGTGCTGGTGTGTGTGGAGAGTGCTGGTGTGTGTGGAGAGGGGTATGCTGGTTTGTGTGGAGAGCGCTGGTATGTGTGGAGAGTGCTGGTGTGTGTGGAGAGTGCTGGTGTGTAGAGAGGGGTGTGCTGGTGTGTGTGGAGAGTGCTGGTGTGTGTGGAGAGGGGTATGCTGGTGTGTGTGGAGAGTGCTGGTGTGTGGAGAGGGGTGTGCTGGTGTGTGTGAAGAGTGCTGGTGTGTGTGGAGAGTGCTGGTGTGTGTGGAGAGTGCTGGTGTGTGTGGAGAGTGCTGGTGTGTGTGGAGAGCACTGGTGTGTGGAGAGGGGTGTGCTGGTGTGTGTGAAGAGTGCTGGTGTGTGTGGAGAGTGCTGGTGTGTGTGGAGAGGGGTATGCTGGTGTGTGTGGAGAGTGCTGGTGTGTGGAGAGGGGTGTGCTGGTGTGTGTGGAGAGTGCTGGTGTGTGTGGAGAGGGGTATGCTGGTGTGTGTGGAGAGTGCTGGTGTGTGGAGAGGGGTGTGCTGGTGTGTGTGGAGAGCGCTGGTGTGTGTGAAGAGCACTGGTGTGTGTGGAGAGCACTGGTGTGTGGAGAGGGGTGTGCTGGTGTGTGTGGAGAGTGCTGGTGTGTGGAGAGGGGTGTGCTGGTGTGTGTGGAGAGAGCTGGTGTGTGTGAAGAGCACTGGTGTGTGTGGAGAGCACTGGTGTGTGGAGAGGGGTGTGCTGGTGTGTGTGAAGAGTGCTGGTGTGTGTGGAGAGTGCTGGTGTGTGTGGAGAGTGCTGGTGTGTGTGGAGAGTGCTGGTGTGTGTGGAGAGTGCTGGTGTGTGGAGAGGGGTGTGCTGGTGTGTGTGGAGAGTGCTGGTGTGTGTGGAGAGTGCTGGTGTGTGTGGAGAGTGCTGGTGTGTGGAGAGGGGTGTGCTGGTGTGTGTGAAGAGTGCTGGTGTGTGTGGAGAGTGCTGGTGTGTGTGGAGAGCACTGGTGTGTGGAGAGGGGTGTGCTGGTGTGTGTGAAGAGTGCTGGTGTGTGTGGAGAGTGCTGGTGTGTGTGGAGAGTGCTGGTGTGTGGAGAGGGGTGTGCTGGTGTGTGTGGAGAGCGCTGGTGTGTGTGAAGAGCACTGGTGTGTGTGGAGAGCACTGGTGTGTGGAGAGGGGTGTGCTGGTGTGTGTGGAGAGTGCTGGTGTGTGTGAAGAGCACTGGTGTGTGTGGAGAGCACTGGTGTGTGGAGAGGGGTGTGCTGGTGTGTGTGAAGAGCACTGGTGTGTGTGGAGAGCGCTGGTGTGTGTGCAGAGTGCTAGTGTGTGTGGAGAGGGGTGTGCTGGTGTGTGTGTAGAGGGGTGTGCTGGTGTGTGGAGAGCGCTGGTGTGTGTGGAGAGGGGTGTACAGGTGTGTGTAGAGAGCATATTGCTGTGTGCTTAATAGGGTCAGTCTGTGGAGATGAAAAGAAAATAATTTATTATTTCTAAAGGTTGTTCAATTTAAATGACCAAAATAGGACCCAGCATAAATATACTGTATATCACGTTAAGAAACTTGTTTCTTTGAAATTTCCCAGAGGAGATAGGAATTGGTAACGCTGTAGCAGCAACACTAGTGAGGAAGAGGCCGCAGCTCTGGGACACACGTGTCCTCACCGCTGTGTGTGTCTGAATTCTCAGGACCTGTGGACGCACCACTCTGAGGACAGGTAGCTGTGGCCACTCACACTCACTGGTCCTGGCTTGACACACACGCTGTGCATCCCCGACCACACCTGCAGGCTGTGGCTCGTCCACAGGCCACGCAGGGCAGACCCACGTCCCCAGGAAATGCAAACACCAGTTGTCATTTCTCTGCAGCAGAATCCATGTGATAAACCTGTGATTTTTATTAAGGGAGCCTTGGGAGCAATTGCCAAAGGACCTAACTCATCTCCTGCTTTATGTAAAGTGTGTGTGTATTTGTGTGTGTATGTGTGAAAGTGTGTATGTGTGTGCAGTGTGTAGATTGTGTATGTGAATATATGTGTTTGAGTGCCTGTGTGTTAACATGTGTGTATGTGTGTGTATATGTGTGTGCAGTGTGTAGATTGTGTATGTGAATGTATGTGTTTGAGTGCCTGTGTGTGTTAATGTGTGTGTATATGTGTGTATGTGTGTGTGCAGTGTGTAGACTGTATGTGAATGTGTTTTAGTGCCTGTTAACGTGTGTGCATGTGTGTGTGTGTGTGCAGTGTGTAGATTGTGTATGTGAATGTATGTGTATGAGTTCCTGTGTGTGTTAACGTGTGTGTATGTGTGTATGTGTGTGTGCAGTGTGTAGATTGTGTATGTGAATGTATGTGTATGAGTACCTGTGTGTGTTAACATGTGTGTATGTGTGTGTATATGTGTGTGCAGTGTGTAGATTGTGTATGTGAATGTATGTGTTTGAGTGCCTGTGTGTATATGTGTGTATGTGTGTGTGCAGTGTGTAGACTGTATGTGAATGTGTTTTAGTGCCTGTTAACGTGTGTGCATGTGTGTGTGTGTGCAGTGTGTAGATTGTGTATGTGAATGTATGTGTATGAGTGCCTGTGTGTGTTAACGTGTGTGTATGTGTGTGTATATGTGTGTGCAGTGTGTAGATTGTGTATGTGAATGTATGTATGAGTGCCTGTTTGTGTTAATGTGTGTGTATATGTGTGTATGTGTGTGCAGTGTGTAGATTGTGTATGTGAATGTATGTGTGTCTGTGTGTGTTTGTGTATGTGTGTGTGCAGTGTGTAGATTGTGTATGTGAATGTATGTATGAGTGCCTGTTTGTGTTAATGTGTGTGTATATGTGTGTATGTGTGTGCAGTGTGTAGATTGTGTATGTGAATGTATGTGTGTCTGTGTGTGTTAACGTGTGTGTATGTGTGTGTGCAGTGTGTAGATTGTGTATGTGAATGTGTATGAGTGCCTGTGTGTGTTAACGTGTGTGTATATGTGTGTATGTGTGTGCAGTGTGTAGATTGTGTATGTGAATGTATGTGTATGAGTGCGTGTGTTAACGTGTGTGTATGTGTGTGTGCAGTGTGTAGATTGTGTATGTGAATGTATGTGTATGAGTGCGTGTGTTAACGTGTGTGTATGTGTGTGTGCAGTGTGTAGATTGTGTATGTGAATGTATGTGTGTCTGTGTGTGTTAACGTGTGTGTATGTGTGTGTGCAGTGTGTAGATTGTGTATGTGAATGTATGTGTATGAGTGCGTGTGTTAACGTGTGTGTATGTGTGTGTGCAGTGTGTAGATTGTGTATGTGAATGTGTATGAGTGCCTGTGTGTGTTAACGTGTGTGTATATGTGTGTATGTGTGCAGTGTGTAGATTGTGTATGTGAATGTATGTGTATGAGTGTGTGTGTTAACGTGTGTGTATGTGTGTGTGCAGTGTGTAGATTGTGTATGTGAATGTGTGTGTCTGTGTGTGTTAACGTGTGTGTATGTGTGTGTGCAGTGTGTAGATTGTGTATGTGAATGTATGTGTATGAGTGCCTGTGTGTGTATATGTGTGTATGTGTGTGCAGTGTGTAGATTGTGTATGTGAATGTATGTGTGTCTGTGTGTGTTAATGTGTGTGTATGTGTGTGTGCAGTGTGTAGATTGTGTATGTGAATGTATGAGTGCCTGTTTGTGTTAATGTGTGTGTATATGTGTGTATGTGTGTGCAGTGTGTAGATTGTGTATGTGAATGTATGTGTGTCTGTGTGTGTTAATGTGTGTGTATTGTGTGTGCAGTGTGTAGATTGTGTATGTGAATGTATGTATGAGTGCCTGTGTTAACGTGTGTGTATATGTGTGTGTGTGTGCAGTGTGTAGATTGTGTATGTGAATGTATGTATGAGTGCCTGTTTGTGTTAATGTGTGTGTATATGTGTGTATGTGTGTACAGTGTGTAGATTGTGTATGTGAATGTATGTGTGTCTGTGTGTGTTAACGTGTGTGTATGTGTGTGTGCAGTGTGTAGATTGTGTATGTGAATGTATGTGTATGAGTGTGTTTTAACGTGTGTGTATGTGTGTGTGCAGTGTGTAGATTGTGTATGTGAATGTATGTATGAGTGCCTGTTTGTGTTAATGTGTGTGTATATGTGTGTATGTGTGTGCAGTGTGTAGATTGTGTATGTGAATGTATGTGTGTGTGTGTTAACGTGTGTGTATGTGTGTGTGCAGTGTGTAGATTGTGTATGTGAATGTATGTGTATGAGTGTGTGTTTTAACGTGTGTGTATGTGTGTGTGCAGTGTGTAGATTGTGTATGTGAATGTATGAGTGCCTGTTTGTGTTAATGTGTGTGTATATGTGTGTATGTGTGTGCAGTGTGTAGATTGTGTATGTGAATGTATGTGTGTCTGTGTGTGTTAACGTGTGTGTATGTGTGTGTGCAGTGTGTAGATTGTGTATGTGAATGTATGTATGAGTGCCTATTTGTGTTAATGTGTATGTATATGTGTGTATGTGTGTGCAGTGTGTAGATTGTGTATGTGAATGTATGTGTGTGTGTGTTAACGTGTGTGTATGTGTGTGTGCAGTGTGTAGATTGTGTATGTGAATGTATGTGTATGAGTGCGTGTGTTAAGGTGTGTGTATGTGTGTGTGCAGTGTGTAGATTGTGTATGTGAATGTATGTGTGAGTGTGTGTGTTAACGTGTGTGTATGTGTGTGTGCAGTGTGTAGATTGTGAATGTATGTGTATGAGTGCCTGTGTGTGTATATGTGTGTATGTGTGTGTGCACGCGCATGTGTGTGTTGCTTTTAAGCCCTCAGCGGTGTTTTCTCGTGGCTGTCAGATTCTTGGCTGCTCTGGGTCACAGACACTTGCCCTTGGAAAGGTCGGGAGGAGGAGCTGCCCAGGCTCTCCCTGCTTGAGACCCTCTGGGGTTTGGAAGTGTCCAGTGCACGCCTTGGCCCTGTGAAGGACACAGGGTGTGGGGGGCACACAGGACAGGGGCTAGCATTTGGCAGGGGGTGACAGCTGGGTGGCCCTGGGGTCCTGGGGGGAGTTTTGCTGGAAGGTTCTTGCAGAAGAACTGGGAGGAGGCCTGGAGGCCACCGTGGCCACGGCAGAAGGGACTGGAGAGGATGGCTGGCATCCCATTTTGTAACTTGTAAACCCAGATAAGGAACCCTGCAGTTCTCGAAGGCAGGGGTGCGGGGACCCTAAGGATGCAGAAGTCAGGGTGAACCTGGGGTCCCCGAAGGCAGAGCCTCTCACACCAGCCGGCGGAGGCCCCATTTTTGTTTTTATTCCAATCAGTCAAGGACTGAAACTTAAAAACACAGACACACACACACACACACACACACAGAAATATATTACTGGGAACGAGATCACACAGGGCAGACACCCACCATCGATTCTGTGACCCCAGCACCACCTCAGGGAACTGCAGAGATGATGCCCCATGAAGGGCCTCATTCCCCTGACCTAGGGCCGGTCTAGGACCTGCTCACCCACAGGACTCCAGGCCCCACTCCCACCTGCCCCAGCAGCCTTGCCATAGAGCCCCCCCTCATACCCAGGCCCCTCCTCAGCCTGCGCCAGGGTGGCCAGGGACTGAGATGGGAGGGTACTGTGGGGTGGGGCTGCAGCCGCTGCCACTGGGCAGCAGGAAGAGGAGGTGGGAGAGGCGGGCTGTGCCTGGGTCTCGGTTTGAACTCACACGTTGCATTTCTGTCACAAGCCCGTTGTTGTGGAGACCTTCTTTGGATACGATGAAGAGGCCTCCCTGGAATCAGATGGTTCTTCCATCTCTTATCAAACGGACAGGACGGACCAGACGCCATGCACCCCAGACGATGACTTGGAGGAGGTAATGAGGCTCTTCCTGCTGGGTCCTAGCCTTGGCTGGGGGTGGGCTGGGCTGCTGCTTTCACAGGGAAGCCCTTGGTGGCCCTCACTGGCACCCACCCACTGGTGGCTGGCTCAGGCACAGCGAGAAGCTCCGGTGATGTGGCTCGGAATGTCGCCTGAGGCCAGCTCCTTGCTCCCATTAAGTCTGGGCCAGGCCTCCTCCTGCCATTGAGCCTATGCCCTTCTAAAGAGGGGTGTGGTGAGCTCTCCTCTCCTAAGGGGCCTCCCCAGCGGGATCTGAACCACTCGCCAGGGAGTTTGGTCCTAGTGCCAAGAGCACATTAGGGCGAGGGGGCATCTAGCAGGAGCTTTCTTCCTGTTAACGGCACAGGTGTTTCTGCCTGTCAGCCACCTCTTCCAGAAGGACGGCTACCCTCAGGTCCAGGCAGCCATCCCAGCAGCAGGCTGGAAACCTTGGCGTTGTGGGGCCCAGGCTCTGTGGCCTGGTACAAGGAGTGGGGTGTCTATAGTCAGTGGCACAGAGAGGATTAGGCCTCCCTGACTGACCCTGGAGGGTGGCCCAGCAGCCACAGACCTGCCCAGGGATCTAAGACTTCCTGGAACAGCCTCAGGTGCAGGGTGGGGCCAGGGAACTGGGCCAGGCAGGGGCTTCCGGGCTCAGCGACTCCAGGACATGGCCCACCCTTCCGGCCCCAGGGGCCCCCTGGGACACTGTGAAGGCAGCAGCAGGCTCACCTGCCTTCTCCCCGGGGTGGCAGATGGCATTGCAGCTGGCAGCATGAGCCTGCAGGATTGATCCTGGGAGGAGGCATGCAGCCTGGGGTACTCGACCCCCTTCACAAAGCCCAGCTTTATTCCCAGGACACATTTTAGCAGAGCAGAGTGTGTGCAGGCTTGGTCAGTAACAGAGGGTCTGCTGTGTCAGGGTAGCCTGGCTGGCAAGGTGAGCCCCCAGCCCTGGCCACCAGCCCAGCAGGCTTACCCTGGCCTCAGCTGTGCAGCAGGCTCAGCTCCCACCCAGGGCCCGGTGCTCTCCTCTGCAGGGAAACCTTTCTCCAACAACACTGAGTCCCCAGGCAGGCGCCCCTCCCTGCACACTGGAGAGGGTCTCCCTCACACTGCTAGAGAGACCCCCCGTTTGATATCTGGGGAGAAGGGAAGCCCCGGGGCCCCACCGACGGAGGAGGTGCTGGCTGCTGACGCTGCGTCTCTGTGCGTGTGGCATCTGTGTGTCTCCAGGGCATGGCCAAGGAGGAGACGGAGCTGAGGTTCCGGCAGCTGACCATGGAGTACCAGGCCCTGCAGCGCGCCTATGCCTTGCTGCAGGAGCAGGTCGGAGGGACGCTGGATGCAGAGCGAGAAGTTAAGGTCTACATGACTTCCACCATGCGCTCCGGCCCCCTCGTGCTTTCCTGCGTGACCCCTATGGCCCGGGCCGGGGCACCCCCACTGCCAACCCTCCTGGCCCCTCCTCTCCTGCCGTTGCCTCTGGTCCCGGTGGCTGATCAAAACCAGGCACTGGGAGCCCCGTGCTGGGAGCTGGCCCGGGGGGAGGGACAGGCCCAGAGCGGTGCCGGGCCCAGAGCAGTGCCAGTTCCAGGCGTGAGTGAGGGTCCTGGGGGAGATGGGGCGGTGGCAGTGGCGGTGGCAAGGGCAGGGTCCCACAGTGCCCAGGGCGGGTCTCCTTCTGGACCTCCTCTGCTGCTCGGGGTGGGGGCAGGGTCCCACAGTGCCCAGGGCACGTCTCCTTCCTCTGCTGCTCTTGGCAGCGTGGCAATGACTCATGGCAGCATCGAGCTCGGTGTTGAAACTCATGGAGCTTGTTCATCCTCAGAGGCTGAGCTGGCACAGGCTGTGGCTGCCCTGGCCCTGGGCCCTCTCTTCCTTCCCTCTCCCCATGGGGTGGGACCCCAGCAGCTGTGTCCCCTCCAACCGCTTCCCTGGCCCACCTGAGCGTCAGTCCCCAGGAAAGGCCCCCTTGTTGCTGGCAGGTGTCCTCTGCAGACCATGGAGGGCAGTGCAGGCACCAGGCCTTCTGGAGGGGCCTGGGTCAGGGGTTGGGGGGGTCCCTCGTTACCCCACCCTCCCAGACTGTGGCTCAGAAGGGAAGCCCCTGGAGGAACTGCACCTGGTGGCCCTCGCAGGGGTACGGGCTGCTTCCCGGGGGAGCTGAGGAGTCCTGAGCAGACAGCTAGCTGTGGGGTCTGGGGTTCCCATTGGCCTCTGACACCCACGACCACCCTGCAGGGCCAGAGACACCAGTGTCTGGCAATTCTGCAACTTAGGGTGGCTGGGCTGGGGGGGGGATGGGCATCTTGGGGTGAGGGGAGGGGGTCTGCAGAGCACCCCAGCGTGGTCCACGCCAGAGCCCTGGGGATCCACCAGCCTCACCCTCCATCTACCCAGACCACCCTGGTGACATGGCTTCCCCCTCCTGCCTTCCTGGGCACCTCACTGGGGACCTGTGTTGTGAAAATGAAGAGAGATCCCCCCTCCACCCACCATGCCCCTCCTGCTGTCCTGAGCAGGTCAGAGGGACCTAGCCCTGGAGGGGACTCCCCCATCTCAGGCTCGGAGAGATCTGCCTGTGTAACTGGGGACTTTAAATGTCCCCTCTTTCACTTTGACTGAATTTTTTCATGACCCTTGGAGAAAGGAACAAATCCAGGCCTCAGCTCAGAGCATCCTAAAGCACGGCAGCCCTGAGACAGCTCAGCCTCCTGGGCCCAGCCCCACTCCCTCACAGCCCAGCCAGGGCGCAGCAAGCATCCTATCCTCCTATTTTCCTGTTGGGTGCTGGAGAAACATTTGCCTGGGGGCCACATGAAAACAAGAACTTAGAGGATTTTGCTTCCAGAGCAAAAATGTCCAGATTGCATGCAAAGTTTGTCTTAATGTCATTTCGAATCAGAGGAAAATCTGATGCCAAGAAGTGCTACATGGTTATTTTAAAAATTGAAAGATACAGAGATTAATGAAGACACGAGGCTAGCCAGCATCCCGCAGTCCAATTCTGTATTACAAGTGGAAATGTCACTCTTCACTGTGGAAGTCAAGGCAGCCTTAGGATAGGAAGAGGCCGAGGAGGGGCGTGGGAGGAAGGCATCTGAAGACGTGGATGTGGGCCCATCCCTGACACGGTCCTGAGGCTTCTGGGATCCGTGGCCACCTGTGGGCTCCGTCTTCCTGTGGGAACACAGGAATAACTAGAACCTGTTCTCGGCTCAGGATTCTCCAACCCAAGGGCTCACACCCACCACTGTGGCCTCTTAAGGGAGAGAAGGGGGAGGAGGAGCCAAGGACAGCCTGGGGGCAGGGAGCTGGGACCCAGCACTGGGGGGCACCACAGGTCGCGCCTTCGCCCACCTGCACCCTGGCTGATGGATCCTCTGAACATGAGCCTTGTCCTGAAACGCGTCCCTCCCTCAGAAGCTATCCCCACAGAGCAGGAGCCACTGTGGGGTGAAATGCCGTGGTTCGGGGCCACCAGAGCAAACTCAATGCAGGGAGGGCGGCTCAGACCTCAGCTGGAAGCCTCAGGGAGCACTCAGGAGTGCTGATGCTGATGTGGAAAGCACCAGGGCTTTTCTGCAGACGTGGGGCGGGCTCTGGGGAAGTCAGTTAAGGAACTCAGAGATGCAGGGGGACAGCCAGCCCAGGCGGAGCAGCTCCCGTACAGGCACCCAACCACCCAGGACTCCCAGCGGGTCTGTGGGGAGAGTCCCTTGAACACACGGGGCAGCTCCTGTGCAGGAGACACCCAACTGCCCGGGCTCCCAGCTGGTCCATGTGGGGGGGGTCCCTTGAACAAAGCGCCCTGGCCAGCACCCGAAGGGCGGAGCACAGGCGAGGCCTCCATCATCCTCCTCAGCTGTGTCATCCTGGAACAAAGATTTCTCCAAACAGGACCTCAAAATTAACCTGCAGAATTACCCCTTAGAATCTAGTGAGATCACTTGCTTCAAATGAGCCTTAAAGTTCTCCCTCTAGGGCCGGGCACCGTGGCTCACACCTGTAATCCCAGCACTTTGGGAGGATGAGGCCAGCCTGGGCAACATGGTGAAACCCTGTCTTTACAAAAAATACCAAAATTAGTGGGGCGTGAGGGCTCATACCTGTGGTTCCAGCCACTCAGGAGGGTGACGTGGGAGGGTCACTTGAGCTCGGGAGGCAAGATTGTGCCCCTGAGCTCCAGCCTGGGTGACAGAGCCAGACCCTGTCTCAAAAAAAAAAAAACTCTTCCCCTTTTAGAAAGCATTTCTTCCAAAGGAAGGGGGAACAGTCCCTTCTCAAGGAGCTGAACTGATGCCTCTTGTGACATCTCGAGTGTGTGCTGTCTGCCTGTCTGTCCGGCTTTCAGAGAAAAGTTCATGTACCTTTCCTCCCATCCTACAGACCCGTGAGCAGCTCCAAGCCGAAGTGCAGAGGGCGCAGGCGCGCATAGAGGACCTGGAGAAGGCGCTGGCGGAGCAGGGGCAGGTGAGCACAGGTGGGGGGAGTGTTTGGCTGCGCCTGAAGGGCAGGTGAGCACAGGTGGGGAGAGTGTTTGGCTGCACCTGAAGGGCAGGTGCGCACAGGTGGGGGGAGTGTTTGGCTGCGCCTGAAGGGCAGGTGCGCACAGGTTGGGGGAGTGTTTGGCTGCACCTGAAGGGCAGGTGCGCACAGGTGGGGGGAGTGTTGGGCTGCGCCTGAAGGGCAGGTGAGCACAGGTAGGGGGAGTGTTTGGCTGCGCCTGAAAGGCAGGTGAGCCCACAGGTAGGGGGAGTGTTTGGCTGTGCCTGAAGGGCAGGTGAGCACAGGTGGGGGGAGTGTTTGGCTGCGCCTGAAGGGCAGGTGAGCCCACAGGTGGGGGGAGTGTTTGGCTGCACCTGAGGGGCAGGTGAGCCCACAGGTGGGGGGAGTGTTTGGCTGCACCTGAAGGGCAGGTGAGCACAGGTGTGGGGAGTGTTTGGCTGCGCCTGAAGGGCAGGTGAGCCCACAGGTGGGGGGAGTGTTTGGCTGCGCCTGAAGGGCAGGTGAGCACAGGTGGGGGGAGTGTTTGGCTGCACCTGAAGGGCAGGTGAGCCCACAGGCCCTGTGCGGCCATGGGGGGCACAGGTCGGGGGGAGTGTTTGGCTGCACCTGAAGACAAGCAGCTCTGGGGGCTTCACAGCACCCCGTCACCCCGCAATAAAACATGCCGGAGCCAGGAGGAAGGAATTCCAGGCCAGCCTTGCGTGAGGCAGGACGCTGCCTGGGCCTGGACACAGCCTCTCCTGGGCTCAATCTTGGAGGATCTCTCAGTCCCCTGAACTCAGGGCCGGGGTTTCAGGTCCTGCAGGTCCTGCCCCGGGTGCTCCTGGGAAATGTCTGGAGACTTTCTGACCTGGGGTTCTCAGAAGCCCGTCCTCCAGGTGGAGAAAGTTGCCCACGACGCAGGTAACCTGCTTTGCCCAGAGTCCATCACTGCCCTATGCCTTAGACGACCCCCACCACCCTGAGTCCACCCCCATGGCCCCGGGCTGAGCCTCCCCTCTGACCTTTGGGGCCTGACACCAGGCTGGAGGATATTGCCGTGGGGTGGGGAGAGCACGTGGCATGGGGAGGTGCCCCTGCTGGAGGCAGGGATGAGCTTCCATGGCTCCCACCCAGCACCCATGTCTGGCCCATGGCCGTCCTTAACTTGTCAACTGCTGGATGGACAGACAGGAGGGTAACATGAGCCCTGGATGTGCCACATCGCCGGCATCCCAGCATTCAGTGTTGTGGCACCTGTAGCCAACCTCCACCGTCCTCGCCTCTTCCAGAGTTGTGCCAATACCGCCCCAGACCCAGCCTCTGCAGAGTTACGGGTGGCCCCGTTCCCAGGTGCTGTGCAAAATTCCTGGGGCACCATCTGGCACTCACAGGGTTTCACAGATGCTGCTGTCTTCCTGTCACCGAACCCAGGCTCAGCTGCTGGCCACCCGAGAGCCAAGCCCAGGATGGTCAGTGGGAGGAAAATCAGGTTTAGTCGGGAAGCAGCGACCCACGGAGATGGCCGACGAGCGTCGTAGAGACCATCGCATTTCCCAGCCTGGCCTGAGGGTGTCATGGCAGGGGATGTGGAGAAATCGCATGCCGGGGCTGACTCTGTGCGGTCAGGGCGGTCAGCGCCTTGTCCCGACGACTGTCTTGAGCGGTGGACATCAGGTGGTGTGGCGGGCATCAGCATGACTGCTACAGGAACGTGGTTTAACCGCTCATGTTCCTCTTGGTGCGGGACATTCCGAAACCTGTTTCCTAGGCTCAGCTTTTCAAGGCCAGTTCCCGGAGTCCTCGAAGCAAAGCGCGTGAACTGAGAGTTATGAAAAGCCTAGCACTGAAAGAAGGGAAGAAGGAAAAACAGAGAGTGACTGTCTCTCGAGATGGGGTGGAGGCCGTCTCTGTGACAGTGTGGCCGTCTCTGTGACAGTGTGGCCGTCTCTGTGACAGTGTGGCCGTCTCTGTGACAGTGTGCCAGGAGAGGAGAAGCGACCAGGGTGGTGGGAAACCAGGAGGCTGAGGAGGATGAGAACTCCGCTTCCTTCATCTGCCAAACTGGCTCCTTCAGACTTGGCAAGAGCTTCGCAGACGACTTTGGGGAGAAGAAACTCGGGACAAATCCAGCGTCTGAAGAAACCAATCTTACTCCTGACATTTTACTTTATTCTTAAAAATGCCACTGGTGGGGGCTACCCGAGTGTGGTCAGCGAGGTGCCCACACACCATTCGTAGAGCCAAGACCACCACCTGCCACGTGTCCTGACTGTAACGGACGGGACACCGCCCTGAGTGAACTGTCATCTCCACCTGCCTGAGACACTTGCTCTGCAGCTGGGTCTGAGCTCACTCTGGCTCAGGGTCCCCTGGACCTGTGATGTCCACACGGCACAGTCTGCCACCAGCACCTGGCCCGGGGTACAAGCCTGGCCTGTGGTCCATGGGGCTGCATGTGGCATCCTCCGAGGTCCTCCTGGGCAGGCCTGTCCCTTTCTCTCTCTCAGGAAATGTGTGAACCCACAGGTTTTCGGCGAGGGTGTGACATGAACTGTTGTTAGGTGGTTAAGGGGCATTGCCACGTTGGCCAGGCTGATCTTTGGTGTTCTGCTACATCGCAGTTTAAACATTGGTTTATGAGTTCCTGTAGCAGTGTTTTCATTTCTTTCTATTCCATTTTTAAGGATATGAAGTGGATCGAAGAGAAGCAAGCACTGTACCGGAGAAATCAAGAGCTTGTGGAAAAGGTGAGCCCCAAACGGGAGAGCCTGGGAAGACTCTACGCTCCTGGGGGGCTGCAGTGGTACCTGTGGGGCTGAAGGGTGGAGCCAGGGCTGAGGTTTCTGAATGGCTCTGCCCCAGGCCCCTTCTGCTCCGCCCCCTTCTGTGGGACCAGTCAGGAGCCCCTGTCTGCAGCTGTGTCTCCATTCCTGTCCTGCTGTGCTGATGGGCTCTGTGGGTGGGCTAGTTAGAGCATCGTGAATCAGGTGCCCTTTTGAGACCCTTGGAATCATCCCTGTGGGAATCATTCCCATGGGAAGCCTGGCTGGGTCAGGGAAGTCTCCTCCAGCAGCGCTTGTGAGGAAGCTAAAGGGTCCTCAGGGAAGAGCCTGTGGACCAGCCGGGCTGAGCAAGTGCATGTTTGAGACTTCACCAGGGCATCACCTGGTGAGCTCAGGTCCAGGCTCTCAGCCCCAGATGACAAGAGGTTCCCAAAATGCTGCCCCCACCCCCACCCCACCCCTACCCTGACTGGGGATTGTGGGCTGGACAATTTTACCTGATGTAAAACAGATCAAAACATGCAGTGTGTCGCCAGGCTGCTCTAAGTGGCCTTAGCTTCTGCCTGGGGTGCAGGGACAGGAGCACAGGCTTCCCGCAGGGCATGTCTCCACCACGTCAGGCCCGACTGGCTCACCTGCCTCGTGCCCTGGTTAAAAGGGTCACGGCACCGAGGGCCCTAGACTTAGGTTAGGTCTGGGCAGTCTGGGACCACTCCAAGAGGGGTGTACTCCACAACTGTGGGAGCAGGTGATGTGGCACGAGGTGGGGCTGGCTGTGGGTCCAGGGGTCATTACCATGTGTGGGTGAGGGGTGCTCCATGTGACCCCCTTGTCCACCCCACTTGTCCACCCACAGGGCCAGGTGTCCTGAGGAGGCAGTGGCGCCTCACCCGGGCAGGTGTGGCCCTCTGGCAGATGCCAGGTGGCCTGGCAGCTAAGTCTGACATGTGCCAGCAGGACCGAGCACCAGACAAACAGGGCGTCTCACCCAGCCCCTGCACTGCAGTCAGCCCACGGCTGGTCATACCCTTCGGGGGTCCGGCTTTAGGCTGAGCTCACATCTTGAATGGTGAACAGCACCCCCATGTTTCCTGTGGACACACGGAACAGCTCTTAAAATAGATAAACTGTTTCCACAGGGCTTAGCGCAGTGCCATGCGTTCCACATAAATGCTGGCACAGGCAGAGATTCACACGCACTTAAGGGCACACACTTGAACAGCCGCACACCTAAATGCTTGCATGCACATTTGAACACGTGTGCACAGAAATGCTTACACCCACTCACGGAAATGCTTGCACGTGCACGTGAACCCCTGTGCATGGAAATGCACACACAAGAACACATGCACATATAAATGCTGGCATGCACACTTGAGCACATGTGCATGGAAATGCTGGCATACACACTTGAACACATGCACAGAAGTGCTGGCACATACACATAACTGCTTGTGCACCTACACATGTACCCAGTTGCACACTTGGAGCCCGTGCTTTTCCCCAGCTATGCTGGGGGTGGGTCGCATTCCTGGCCCTGCAGGTGTTCTGCGGCAGCCCCACTGAGCAGTGGCACACAGCTGGCCGTGCGGGAGGGTCCAGCTCCCACAGAGCAGTGGGCTCACTCAGAGGATGCAGTGTTCCAGAGTTTTTGTTGGTCCCCTGAGCATCAGAGCAGGTCATTAGTGCCCCAGCCTCAGCGCCAGGCAATGGATGCAGCTGCCTGCCCCTGGTGGGACCTGCCCCTGGTGGGCCCTGCCCCCAGGAGGCTGCTAAGGACACGTGCCATGGGCCATGTCACTTTACACTTTGGAAGGGGTGGTGGGACTCCTGCATCTGGTTTCCTTGTTACTGGTTCTGTTGAAACAGTCCCTTAGGTAGCCAAGTGAATTCCAGTGGCCAGGCAGCCATGGTACCTGCTCCTTCCACTGGGCACAGCCTGGGCTCTGAGGGACACCAGGGAGCCACTTGGGACATTTATCCTTGATGGCCTCCATTCTCCATCCCAGCTTAGCATCGTGCTACGGCCTCCAGGCTCGTGGCTTGTGCACAGCCCCGCTCGAGATGTTTATCCTCCACAGCCTCCTTCCCCATCCCTGCCCAGGGACTGCCCTCCCCAGGCTCAGGGCCCTGCTGCGGCCACCAAGCTCCCGGCTTTTGGTGTGTGGCACTGCCTGCACAGCCCCACCCACCACTGGACGGCTGGGCTGTGTCACTAGGACAGACCCAAACGCACCCAGGGCTCTGAGGAGCTTCGAGGGCTGGGCACTGGTCTGTCCAGCTGGCCTCACTGACCGCCAGGAGTTGACCTCCCAGGACCTCTGGTGAGAGAGCCAGACTCCTCGCCTCATCCATCTTTTCTGTTGCAGATTAAACAAATGGAGGCGGAGGAGGCTCGGCTCAGACACGAGGTGCAGGATGCCAGAGACCAAAATGAGCTGCTGGAGTTCAGGATCCTGGAGCTCGAGGTAGCTGGGCCAGTGGCCAGCACTGTGGCCGGTGGCCAGTGGCCGTGGCCTCTGGCTGTGTCAGGGATCCAGCCCTCAGCCTTCCTAACCCACACAAGCCCCTGAACATGAATCCAAAAGGCCGGGTCAGAGAGGAAAGAGGCGAATGGCCGTAAACCGCCACCTCTTCCTGTGGAGGGTGAGGCCGGCCACGCCAAGCACGTGTAAATGGGGGCCGTGGGACGTGGGCCGTGGAGCTCAGCATCGTGCAGGGAAAACAACGCAAAAGCAAGATGGGTGCTGATGCAGCATCTGCTCCACACCTGTGTCCTGAGGCACTGGCGCATCTGCCGTCTGTCTGCTCCCGTGGCCCTGTGGCAGCCGGTGCGTGGCAGAGGCTGTGCCCAGGCCTCAGTGGTTGGCAGACGTTTGTTTCTTGCTCATAGAAGCCCCTGAGTGAGGGCAGTGGGGGGCACATGGTGAGCCCTTATTCTGTGCCCTGCTGGCCCTGGCCCTGCGTCCTCTGCCGTGACCGTCACAAGAGGAGGGAGGAGGGGGAGGAGGATCCTGCTGGGCAGTTCAGGCTGGGCATAAGCGGCCATATTGCTGTGCTCATGTTTCACTGCAAGGGTGGTCCACCCGTGGGACTGGGAGGAAGTGGCCGCCATGGGGGCCACCCCTGCCAAACACCATGTGCAGCCCCGAGGCCTCCATCTCAGGCCAGCACCTGGAGCCTTGGAGTCCGAGTGGAGCTGCCTCTTAGAGCCCTCCCGTCCACTGCAGGGGCAGGGCAGCTGTGTGGTCACTCCACGTGTGGACGACCTTGGCCACATGGGCCTGAATGTGGGGACAGTGGCAGCACTGCTGGCCTCTCTTCCAGAGGCTCTTCTGTTCAAGCCCTCGGGGAACATGACCTGCAGCCCCTCCCCTGAAACTCCTCGCAGCCCCTGTGATTTACTGAGGGATGGGCTGTGGCTCAGGGTGGGGACTGCCCATGCCGCGTGGCCAGGGCATGATGAACTCTGCTTGGCCCATCGGGAGTCAGCGAATACACAGGGGCCGTCCTCGAGGGCCGGTCCAGGTCCAGTGCAGATTCTCCCACCGCCACCACCGCCGCAATGCCGTGTTGGTCCCTGGTTCCATGATCTTGGCCTGTGTTCCTCAAGCCCCAGCCGGCCCTTTTGGAGGGAGAGGATGGGAAGGGAACAGCTCACCCTCTGCTCTCTTCTTAGGAGAGGGAGAGGAAGTCGCCCGCCATCAACTTCCACCACACACCCTTCGTGGATGGGAAGAGCCCCCTGCAGGTGTACTGCGAGGCCGAAGGCGTGACAGTGAGCCTCGCCCCTCCCCGCCTCGCCTCTCCCTGTCCCCTCTGCCCACCCCGTGCTGCTCACCCCTGCCTGTCCTCTCTGCCTCCTAGGACATCGTGGTGGCAGAGCTGATGAAGAAGCTGGACATCCTGGGCGATAACGCCGTAAGTGTATGTCGCTCTCCTGGCTTGTGCATGCCCCTCACATCCACAACCCCCAGCCCAGCCCCCCTGGGGTCCAGGAGCCCTGCCAGCCTCCCACAGCCCTGCCATGGACCACCCTTCCTGAGATGCTCCCCAAGGCCCAGAGCCTGCTTAGAATCGGAGGCTTCCTCACACTGCTCCGGGCCCACTGGGGCCTCTTCTGGGCACCTGGTTCTTCCAGCTGACAGCACTTCCCATCACACCGCCCCAGCTTCTCGGGTCTCTCAGCTCTTCCTCACTTGTGTGGGGATGGGGGCTTTTGCTCTTAGACAAGCCAAGACCCTTAGGGGTTGCACTTCCTTGTCTTGGGAGAAGCAGCAGGCTCTGTAGATAACCCCTACGTTTCATTTGGGGTAGAGTTTCCAATTTCTGCAGCAAACTGCTTGAAAGAATGTTAGTTACCAAGTGGGCAAAGGAAACGCACCCCTTCACCCACTTTCTATCAGCCCACCCACGAACCCTCCACTCCCATCCGTTTACTCCCCATCAGTCCGTCATATACCATCCCTTCACTCATCCTCTGTCCCGTATCCATCCAGCCATCCTGTGTAATCCATCCATCCATCCTCCATCTATCCTTCATCCATCATCCCTAATCCATCCATTCATCCATTACCTCCATCTATCCTTCATCCACCATCCCTAATCCATCCATTCATCCACTACCCATATTCTGTCCATCTATCCACCACCCTCCATCCATTTCTTCTCCATCTACCATTCTCTACCCATTAATCTTTCACCCACCTACCCATCCTTCATTCATCCCCCATAATCTACCCATCCTTTATTATCCATCTATTCATTCTCTGTTAATTCTCTGTAGTCCATCCATCCTTCATCCATCCTTTATCCTTCCTTCCTTCATTCATTCTTCAGAATCCATCTGTCTATTCATCCATCTTCCCAGTTTATCCATCCTCCCTCCACTATTCATTCATTCATCCGTGTTCCATAAGCTATCCATCCATCCATCCTCCATCCTTCCATCCATCCCTGGCCCCTCCCTCCACCCATCCATCATCCTGCATTCACTGACCTTCCACTCCCTCCATCCAGGGCCCTGTGTGAGAGGACTCCCTTCTCCCCTTTCCCACCCAGCAGCTGGGGAGCAGAAAGGCACAGGGCAGGGGTGCTTTCTGCGGGGGAGGCTCTGCATCTGGGTCTGCTTCTCTCAGAAGGCTGGGGACTCCGTTGTGGTCATAGGTGGCAGAAGAACCACAGCAGGGTGGCTGTTGACCTGACATGCTCTGGTCCAGTCCTGGGTAGCAGCCCCATCACGGGGTCTTGGGAACCATATTGGGCAACTCTCTGATTCACAGTTGGAGAAGCTGAGGACCCAGAGGCACTGCCCAGGGTCACAGAGCTGATGTAGTGGCAGAGTTGGGGGTGTTCAGCTCTGCCCAGGCCTATTTCAGGGCTCCCGTCCAGCCCCATAGCTGTCCACCAAGAGCGTCACTGAGCGTGTGGCCCTGCAGCCATCATGCAGCGTCTGAGGCCATCATCACAGAGTGCAGGGATGGAGGAGGTTAGGGGCTAGAGGATGCTTGGCCAGGCATAAGCCCAGGGGACCTGTGGAGATGCTGGAGCTCCTGACAGCGGGCCGACAGTGTTCCTCTGAGCCTGGCTGTGCAGTCAGCGCTGAGGAAGCTTCACGTGCACCTCGTGGTTTAGCCACAGCCGGTAGATTCCCTCAGTCACCCTGAAGCCACCTGCTCAGCCTCCCCATCTCCAAGTGAGAGGGGCCTGTGGCCCGCCCAGCCCTGGAAGAAGGGAGCAGGGCACAAGGAACGAGGGTACCCGGCCCTTGTCCCATGGGATGAGGTTCTCTCCTGAGTCAGGAGTGCAGCTGGCCCCACCATGGACTACAGACTGAGCCTGCCTCCCACCGTGGGAGACCCCGGGCGGACTTTGGGGCTGAGGACAGCGGGCAACGCCTGGGCTTAGGGAGCTCGCGCTCCAGGGAGAGAACAGCGTGGACAGGGCTGTTGGATTGAGTGGCGAGAATCAGGGAGGCTCTGGGGAGAGGAGCAAGGGCCTCCCTTCCCCACAGGGACCAGGCACCCAGCCCTGGCTGTCCCGTGAGCTGGGGCCAGGCAGCCCTGTTCTGGGCTAGGCTGCAGCACAGTCTGAGAGTGTGGGGTGCCCATGTCCACATGGCCCCACAGCCATACTCACTCTAACCAGAAGGGCCACTCACAGACCCTCGGGTGGGGAGGAAGTGTGAATAAAACATGCATAAAACCCGCCATTTCACAGCCATGAACTTGTCTCCCCGCCACTGTTCCGAGTGGTGTTTTAATAACCACAGGTGCATATGCAGAGGCTGGCTTTACACACAGATGGGGACAGAGGCTGAGCGGAGCAGCGGCGGCTGCTGGGGACATGGTCACTGCCTGCCTGCGTTGAGCAGTGCACACTCATCTGCCTCGGCTGGTTGCCTAGACCTGGTGGTCTCCAGCAGGGGGAGGATGAAAGAAAACCAAATTGGCAGCACCCAAGGGAGCAAGCTCAAGAGTCAAGGGTGTCAGAGATGCTGGGAGGTGTCAGCAAAGCGCTTTTGAGCTGTGGCCTGCCCCCAGAATCCCCAGGCAGCCTCCCCATGCATCCGTCACTCACCGCCACCCCTGAAGGCATTGCTTCTGACCACACCTGTGTTCTGCTTTTGGGTGCAGAATCTGACCAATGAGGAGCAGGTGGTTGTCATACAAGCCAGGACAGTCCTGACCTTGGCCGAGAAGGTAACAGCAGCCGTGTGGGCACTGGACAAGGGGCCAGGCTCCTAGGGTCTCCTGCCCTGCTCAGCTCAGAGAAGGTAACAGCAGCTGTGTGGGCACTGGACAAGGGCCCAGGCTCCTAGGGTCTCCTGCCCTGCTCAGCTCAGAGAAGGTAACAGCAGCTGTGTGGGCACTGGACAAGGGTCCAGGCTCCTAGGGTCTCCTGCCCTGCTCAGCTCAGAGAAGGTAACAGCAGCTGTGTGGGCACTTGAGAAGGGGCCAGGCTCCTAGGGTCTCCTGACCTTGGCCGAGAAGGTAATAGCAGCTGTGTGGGCACTGGAGAAGGGGCCAGGCTCCTAGGGTCTCCTGCCCTGCTCAGCTCAGAGAAGGTAACAGCAGCTGTATGGGCACTCTAGAAGGGGCCAGGCTCCTAGGGTCTCCTGCCCTGCTCAGCTCAGAAGGTGCTCTTCCTGGGAGGAGGGTCTGAGGGCCTGGATGGGGGTCCACTGCCCCGCTGCCCTGGGAGATCGGGTCAGACAGATTCAGCTGCACTTTGCTCGGACACCAGCCCTGTCTGTTTCTTCCCAAAGGCGGGAAGGTATGGTGAGTCTACAGGCAGTGTTCCCTGTTCAACTTAACACGACCTCTTCTGGGGCCATCCACCCACCACCTGCTCCTAGTCCCACCCCCAGCCCAGACCTGCCTGGTGGGCTGGGTCTCCCACAGCAAGGAGAAGGGGTGCTCCTGGCACATAGGGGCTTGGAAAAATGGGCCAACCCTCCCCTCCCGTCCTGGCAGAGCTCTGCAGATGTGTCTGCTCCCGCTGTGCCCAAGCCAGTGTCCATCTTCTCTGGAGAAGGTGTCAGGGGCAGACTTCCTGGAGGGTAGGAGGGGCAGAGCCACAATGTCAGTGCAGCCCTATCTCCCTGGAGAGGGCTGGACTCCCCCTCCCTAAGGAAAAGAGGAGGGAAGACTCAGGCTGCCCTGGCTTCTCTCCCAGCTGTCTCCACAAGCCCGGGTGGGGGACCCTGGGGTCACTGTCCTGTTTGTTCTGTTTGTGCCCAGTGGCTCCAGCAGATTGAGGAGGCAGAGGCAGCACTGCAGCGGAAGATGGTGGATCTGGAGACTGAGAAGGTTGGTGGCATCTTCCCTGAGGCTCTGTGGCTCGCTGCTGCAGGTGGGATGTCCGAGGCCGAGACATGGTCCTCCTGTGTTTCAGGAGCTGTTCAGTAAGCAGAAGGGCTACTTGGATGAGGAGCTGGACTACCGGAAGCAGGCCTTGGACCAAGCCCACAAGGTGAGAGGCGCGAGGCTGTTGGAGCCCCAGGGAGGGGCACTGGGGTGGAAATGGCCGTGTGGCTCAGCTGCCCAGCGGTGCCTCAGGTGCCTGTGCAGGTCAGGTCTCAGGGCCCCTAACAGTCCCTACCAGCCCTTGATGACACTGCGTAGTAGACCCCGGCTCTCCAGAGCTGCCTGATAGAGTTTTCACTTAGAGATTCATAAACAGAGCAGGATTTGTTGAGGAGGTCTAAACCCACGCTGTACCATGAGAACGTGCTACAGCTTTCGTGCAGGTCACTCAGGCACAGAAACGGCCTGATTCCTAACGGCTGTCCAGGCGTCGGTGTGGGCCAGTGTCTACCACCTCCCACCCTCCCCTGAGGAACCGGAGAGGACACGGCCTCTCACTAGGGGAAGGCGTGGTCTTGTTCTGTTTCACCTACTGTGCCTGGGAGAAGCATATGACATTGCTAGGTTGAAAACCAGGCTTCAGAACTGGGTTCCCCTGCTGGCAGCTACTTCCTCCACGACTGTGCAAGCAGTCATCTGTCCCTGCTGGACTCCTGTCACATGACCAAAGGTATGACTGGGAGGACATTCAGGCCCTGTCATAAGTGTCACCAAGAAAGGGAAGGTGGGCTGGGATAAAAATGCTCATTCTTGGGGCCAAGTTCAGCCTGAGAACTCTGAGTGATGGTGACCGTGATGGTGATGATGTCAGGGTGGTGGTGATGATGGCAATGGTAATGGTGGTGGCGGCGGTGGTGATGGTGGTGGTGGCGGTGATGGTGATGATGGTGACCATGGTGGTGGTGGCGGTGATGGTGATGATGGTGACTGTGGTGGTGGTGGTGTTGGTGGTGATGATGGCAATGGTAATGGTGGTGGCGGCAGTGGTGGTGGTGGTGGTGGTGGTGATGGTGATGATGGTGACTGTGGTGGTGGTGGCGGTGATGGTGATGATGGTGACTGTGGTGGTGATGGCAGTGGTGGTGATGATGGTGACTGTGGTGGTGGTGGTGGTGGTGGTGATGATGGTGACCATGGTGGTGGTGGTGGTGATGGTGATGATGGCAACGGTAATGGTGGTGGCAGCAGTGATGATGGTGGTGGTGGTGGTGATGGTGATGTTGGTGACCATGGTGGTGGCAGCAGTGGTGATGGCAGTGGTTATGGTGGTGATGATGGTGACCATGGTGGTGGTGGTGGTGATGGTGATGATGGCAACAGTAATGGTGGTGGCGGCAGTGGTGATGGTGGTGGTGATGGTGATGGTGACCATGGTGGTGGTGTTGGTGGTAGCGACGATGCTGGTGATGGTCATGGTGGTGGTAACAATGGTGATGGTGATGGCGATGGTGATCATGATGATGGTGATGGTGGTGGTGATGATGGTGACCATGGTGGTGGTGGTGGTGATGATGGCAATGGTAATGGTGGTGGCGGCAGTGGTGATGGTGGTGGTGATGATGGTGACCATGGTAGTGTTGGTGGTGATGATGGCAATGGTAATGGTGGTGGCGGCAGTGGTGATGGTGGTGGTGATGGTGATGGTGACCATGGTGGTGGTGTTGGTGGTAGCAATGATGCTGGTGATGGTCATGGTGGTGGTAACAATGGTGATGGTGATGGCGATGATGGTGATCATGATGATGGTGATGGTGGTGGTGATGATGGTGACCATGGTGGTGGTGGTGGTGATGGCGATGATGGTGATCATGATGATGGTGATGGTGGTGGTGGTAATAATGGTGACGATGGGTGATGATGCTGGTGGTGGTCAGGATGATGGTCATCATGATGATGGTGACCATGGTGGTGGTGGTGGTGATGGCGATGATGGTGATCATGATGGTGATGATGGTGGTGGTAATAATGGTGACGGGTGATGATGCTGGTGGTGGTCATGATGATGGTCATGATGATGATGATGATCATGGTGGTGGTGGTGGTGGTAGTGATGACGGTGATGGTGGTGGGGACCACGATGATGGTGATGACAGTGGTGATGATGAGGATAATAATGACAGTATTTTAATGAGAGCCTACTCAAGAGCCTTTCCTATGTGGCAGGCACTGGTCTGGCCAGCCAGGCACAGAAGTTGATGACCTGCCCAAGGACACTCAGTCACTGTGAAGGCAGGAGTTGAATCTCAGCATTCTTCCCCTGCGCCCACAGCCCTGACTGCTGCACTAGGGATCTCTCCTCCCTGAACTCGTGGACACGAGTTCCTCACACAGAGGGGCCAGGGCTCAAATGCAGAACCCTACAGAGCAAAGAGCAGCCACATCAGGCACCTGGCATCCTGGGGGTGGAATGGGTGCAAGGCCCATGTCAGTTGCTGTGGAAGCCAGTGTGTGGCCCGTGGGAGGCATTGGAGGGAGATGACCTGGGTTTGAGGCCCAGCTCAGCCAGTAACTACTGTAGGGATTGGGAGTTCCTGTGGGATGCTGGGCAGGGAGGCTGGCCCTGGCTAACTGGAAATGGCCTCCTGTTGCTGTGGTGAGTGTCATTACTGCTGCACGTGTGCACAGGCCTGCGTGAGAGCAGCTCACAGGCCACTGGCTGTGCTTCCCCGGCCACTGCCCTCATGGCCTGTGGGTGCTGAGAGCCAGCCCCAGGTGAGTTGGCCCCAGCAGTGGTGAGACCTGTGTCCCTCCAGGTGGCCAGGGACCTGCGTGGCATGGAATACATTTGTCTGCCCTGCTCATGGGGATGGGGCGGCCCCCAGGCACAGGCTGCTGTGGGCTTAGCTTCTTAGGTAGTCACTGGGCCTCGCATGCTTTGGTCAGAAGGAAGGAGGCTGGAAGTGGGTGATCACCTGATGTAAAAAGCAGAGTCCCCTCAGTGCCCCAGGCCATCCACAGTGCAGCTGACACTCCTCTGCTCGTCCTCCTGGGACTCCCTTACTGGGGAGACCTCCTTGCTGAGGCAACAGGCCCTGTGGCGTCCGGCCCCCGCCCCTCCCTCAGCTCAGCCTCTGCGCCCTGCAGCCCCTTGACCTCTGCTCTCAGCCTCCTCACTCCCCCTCCTCCTCCCTCCTCCTCCCTCCTCCTGTTCATGCTGACGCAGCCCCTCAGCCTCTACTCTCCAGCCTCCTCACTCCCCCTCATCCTCCCTCCTCCTGTTCTTGCTGACGCAGCCCCTCAGCCTCTGCTCTCCAGTCTCCTCACTCCCCCTCATCCTCCCTCATCCTCCCTCCTCTTCCCTCCTCCTCCTTCCTCCTGTTCATGCTGATGCAGCCCCTCAACCCCTGCTCTCCAGCCTCCTCACACCCCCCCATCCTTGCTCATCCTGTTCATGCTGTCTGCTGGTATAGACAGGTTCCTCTCTGCTGGATGAGGAAGAACCCTCTAGAACAGTGCTCTCCAATGAGCACCAAGGCCCATGCCGCTGCCTGGGTGGAGATGGTGGGATCCAGCTAGGGAGCACCGCAGCTGCCAGTGTCTCCACTGCTGTGCAGGCACCACCCCCACAGGCTGGGACATAGGGGACCCCCCCAGCCTTTGCCACTGCTGCTCCGTCCTCTGGGAGCACCCTTCCTTTCCTTCTCCTGCCCATCCCTGACACTGCAAGCCCCAGTTTTGTACCTCGCTTCCTCTAGGAAACCTTCCCTGACCCCGGCGAGGTAGCCCTGACACACCCCACTCATGGATATGGGTCTGCCCTCCTTCGGGGCAAGCAGGGACCATGAGCATCTGCTGCTACCTGGTCCCCTAGACCAGCACGAGGCCTGGCAGGCAGCAGGTGCTTTGCGGGTGCTGTGTAGGTGAGGAGGAAAAGAACTGAGGAGTCGTGTGGAGACCTTTAAATCCAGCTCACCTTGAGACAGGAAAGGGAAGAGAACATGCATTTCTGAAATCTCAGAGATGGTCATCATGCCAATGGTAGGAAATGCTCAAGGTACAAAAAGAAGATTGTACAAAAAAGTTCCCATGTTTCCTTTCAGTATGACTTTGAGGTGAGTGTGAGGCAGGTGTAAAGAGGAGATGGAAATGTCTGCACCTCCAGGATGGCAGCTCCCAGCCCACCAAGCAGCACCTGTCTACTCAGCCCTCACCCTTTCCCCCCGATGTCGTGGAAAATTCCTGTGTAAGATTGTGTCTGGAGTGATGCCTCAGGCCCAGAATCCCTCCACTGGGTCAGGAGAGTTGCCCCATGAGTGGGGAGGTAGCCTGTGGGCCCCCTTGACCTGACAGAACGCAGGATCTGAGCACAGAGGGCTCCAGGAGTGGGGCATCTTTCACACTCCCTGGCCCGGAGCAGCTGCCACCACGGTCCTTGTGACCAAGCATCCGGACCCGTGGTGGCATGAGGGATGTGGGTCTGCGCACATGTTTCCAGAAGGTCAGTCAGGGCTGCCTCAGCTTCCCACAAGGCCACCTCTCTCTGCCACCTCCACAGTAGCTGTGTCCTCAGGCCTCAGACAGGGCCAAATGCTCAGGGGATTATTCAGCCCCAAAGACCCCTGGGGAGGCACATGGCTGCTGGTGGGACCAGGATTAACACTCCCTACTCTGGAGGAACTGGGGGAATCTTCTAGTGTGATGCTGGGGGTCTCTTCCTGTGTGATGATGGGGGAGCTCTTCCTGTGTGATGCTGGGGGCCCTCTTCCTGTGTGATGCTGGGGAGGCCTCTTCCTGTGTGATGCTGGGGGGCCTCTTCCTGTGTGATGCTGGGCGGGCCTCTTCCTGTGTGATGCTGGGGGGGCCTCTTCCTGTGTGATGCTGGGGGAGCTCTTCCTGTGTGATGCTGGGGGCCCTCTTCCTGTGTGATGCTGGGGAGGCCTCTTCCTGTGTGATGCTGGGGGCCCTCTTCCTGTGTGATGCTGGGGAGGCCTCTTCCTGTGTGATGCTGGGGGGGCCTCTTCCTGTGTGATGCTGGGGAGGCCTCTTTGTGATTCTGGGGGTCCTCTTCCTGTGTGATGCTGGGGGGCCTCTTCCTGTGTGATGCTGGGGGGGCCTCTTCCTGTGTGATGCTGGGGAGGCCTCTTTGTGATTCTGGGGGTCCTCTTCCTGTGTGATGCTGGGGGGCCTCTTCCTGTGTGATGCTGGGGAGCCCTCTTCCTGTGTGATGCTGGGGGGCCTCTTCCTGTCTGATGCTGGGGGGGCCTCTTCCTGTGTGATGCTGGGGATCCTCTTCCTGTGTGATGCTGGGGAGGCCTCTTTGTGATTCTGGGGGTCCTCTTCCTGTGTGATGCTGGGGGGCCTCTTCCTGTGTGATGCTGGGGGGCCTCTTCCTGTGTGATTCTGGGGGGCCTCTTCCTGTGTGATGCTGGGGGGCCTCTTCCTGTGTGATGCTGGGGGGCCTCTTCCTGTGTGATGCTGGGGATCCTCTTCCTGTGTGATGCTGGGGAGGCCTCTGTGATTCTGGGGGTCCTCTTCCTGTGTGATGCTGGAGGGGACCTCTTCCTGTGTGATGCTGGGGGGCCTCTTCCTGTGTGATGCTGGGGAGGCCTCTTCCTGTGTGATGCTGGGGGGCCCTTCCTGTGATGCTGCGGGGAGGGATATCTTCTTGTGTCATGATGAGGGGAGGGATATCTTCCTGTGTGATGCTGGGGGGCCTCTTCCTGTGTGATGCTGGGGGGGGATATCTTCTTGTGTGATGCTGGGGGGGGGCCTCTTCCTGCGTGATGCTGTGGGGAGGGATATCTTCCTGTGTGATGCTGAGGGGAGGGATATCTTCTTGTGTCATGATGAGGGGAGGGATATCTTCTTGTGTGATGCTGAGGGGGCTCTTCCTGTGTGATGCTGGGGGGCCTCTTCCTGTATGATGCTGTGGGGGTCTCTTCCTGTGTGATCCTGGGGGTCCTCTTTCTGTGTGATGCTGGGGGGGCTCTTCCTGTGTGATCCTGGGGGTCCTCTTCCTGTGTGATGCTGAGGGGAGGGATATCTTCTTGTGTCATGATGAGCGGAGGGATATCTTCCTGTGTGATCCTGGGGGTCCTCTTCCTGTGTGATGCTGGGGGGGCCTCTTCCTGTGTGATGCTGGGGGGGGTCTCTTCCTATGTGATCCTGGGAGGCCTCTTCCTGTGTGATGCTGGGGGGCGGTCTCTTCCTATGTGATCCTGGGAGGCCTCTTCCTGTGTGATGCTGGGGGGGTCTCTTCCTATGTGATCCTGGGAGGCCTCTTCCTGTGTGATGCTGGGTGGGCTCTTCCTGTGTGATGCTGAGGGGAGGGATATCTTCTTGTGTCATGATGAGGGGAGGGATATCTTCTTGTGTGATGCTGAGGGCGCTCTTCCTGTGTGTTGCTGGGGGGGCCTCTTCCTGTGTGATGCTGGGGGGGGTCTCTTCCTATGTGATCCTGGGAGGCCTCTTCCTGTGTGATGCTGGGTGAGCTCTTCCTGTGTGATGCTGAGGGGTGGGATATCTTCTTGTGTCATGATGAGGGGAGGGATATCTTCCTGTGTGATGCTGGGTGAGCTCTTCCTGTGTGATACTGAGGGGCCTCTTCTGGTGTAATGTGTGGGCCTCTCTCCACCTCCATTTGGAAGGCTTCCTGGTTTGGGATGATCTGAGTTTGCTGTTGATTTTCTTCCTTTCCCTGCACACTCACCAGTTGTCTCCTGTGTCTTTCATGCATGTGACTCTCGGGTCACTTGGGTGCCCTCAGCTGACTCGCAGGGCTGTGAGCACCAAGGTGTTACTCTGCACTCCCTGCTCTGCTAATGGGAGACCCTGGGGCACGGAGGAGAAGGGCTGGTTCCTCCCGGGCCATGGAGGCTCTTTATGGCAGGTGCTAGCGCCAGCTTTGCCTCTCTGGACATGGGTGTGGGAGGCCGTGGTCTGTGTGGCTGCTGAAGGCAGGGAGGGTCGTCCAGGCAGCCCCCAGCTGATGTTACCACGGAGGTCCTGGTGAGCGCTTCCCACCAGCAGGTGCACGTGAAGCCACTGTGAGGTTCATTCCAAGCCAGCACCCAAACAGGTTTATTTTTAGAAGCTGGAGCTCATCTTAAAGGCACTGAGCTCTTTTGCTGTAGGAAGTGGAGGTTGATGTGTGACCCGGTTGGGACAGCTGGGGACAGCTGATTTTGTGGTTGTCAAGAACAATAATGTCTAACCAAGGCCCAAAAAGATTTTTTTGTATTTCCTAAAATTTCCGCTAAATCAAAAGAGGTTTTGATAACCATTTGGTTGAAGAAAAGGGGACATTCTCCTCTAAAGATGTTACGTTTGGTCGAGAAGAAAGGGCCTCTATAGTGTCAGAATTTGTTTTTTTACAAAGATTTCTATCAATAAAATTTCCCTAAGAAAAATTTTGAAATACTGAGAGCAAATTGCTAAACCCCAGGAATTTATGAAAAGGTATGTATTTTGGCTGCTGGGTTATAGCGAGGGGACCGGGTTACACGGATCTGTGAATTGGATTTGGTGTCCCCACAGCCCACCTGCGGCCCCTCCACTCCCGCTCACTTTCCCAATTCATTGCTCAGTCCTCCCCCGTCCTGGGGCTCGGGGTCCTGGCTGCTGCTGGCCTGGTCAGTGTCTCTACTTCCAGGGTCTTCTCACGGACGGGGAAGGTGCATGGGGCCCCAGGTCCTTCTGCAGAGGCCATGGCACTGGGTCCCTCCCTGCTGCACCCAGGTGGAGGGTGGCCCGTTCTCCGTTGCTCTTCCTGAAAGGTTAATTCCGGGGAGAAGGCAGGGACTAATGCGTCTCCCCTCCCGCCAGCACATCCTGGAGCTGGAAGCCATGCTGTATGACGCCCTGCAGCAGGAGGCCGGGGCCAAGGTGGCTGAGCTGCTTTCAGACGCGGAGCGCGAGAAGCTCAAGGTGTCCGTGGAGCAGTGGAAGCGTCAGGTCATGAGTGAGCTGCGGGAGCGGGACGCCCAGATCCTGCGGGAGCGCATGGAGCTGCTGCAGCTGGCTCAGCAGGTGCGTGCGCGGCAGGTGGCAGCGGGGCTGTGGTGAAGACCTGGCCAGGGCCTGCAGAGCCAGGCAGGGCCTCCCACGCCCACACCTCCAATGACTACCCCTCTGTGGCCCTGCTGTGCAGTGGCCACACCCCTCATAACCCATACTCTGATGTCTGTGCTCTGGTGGCTGTGCCCCCAATGGCCACGCCCCCCAATTATCACGCCTGCCTTAGATGGCCACATCTTCTGATGGTCATTCCCCAGAATGGCCAAACCCTTTATGGCCACACCCCTGATGGCCACGCCCCCAAGGCCATTCCTGTCAATGGTGGGCACTCAGTCCAGACTGCCTCCCCCACCAGCCGAGTGTCCTGAGCGTGCTGCGGAGGCCTCTGGGTGGCAGTTCCCCCCTTTTGGACCCCTAGCTACTGTGTCTTTTCTGTGGCACCATTTCCTGATGGCAAGGGTGCTCTTGGGACAGCAGCCTCCAGCCCTGTCTTGACCTCAGGGCACTATGGGGCCTCAGGCCTGCTGGGTCAGTTCTGTGCTGATGGGAGGTGAGGAGCCCTGCAGGCTGGACAGCCTGGTCGTGGAGGACAGGGCCTAGCTCCTCCTTGTGCCAGGGTGGCTGGGAAGCGGCTTCATGGGTGCATTCCGTTAAGAACCCCCAAAGCAAAGGTTTGATCACAGATTCACATAAAGAAGTGCCTGTGTACCAGCTGGCCATGGGCATCGGTGGGCTGATGTCAGCTATGGTCTGCCGGCCCCTCGTCAGCCTCCTGGGCCTCTTTGGTCTCTGGGGCTCAGGGTGAGGACAGTCACCTGCAGCCCCTCTGCTGCCTGAGGGGCTATAGTTGGAGCTTGGATCCTTGGGGGACCCCAGGCACTGGCATTCCCCTCACCAGGAGGCTTGCTCTGTGCCTGGCTCTGCCTGCAACCCTCTGGCGGCTCCTTGCTCTACTGCAGTGACGTCTGGGGTCCAGGAGTCCATTCCCACCATTTCCCTGAGTGTCAGGCATTGTGTTTTCTGAGCTGAAGCTGCAGGAATCAGGAGGATACTGTTCCTGCCAGGGGGAGTGTGGCACGGGGAAGGCCCTCCGTCTCCTGCCATGGGGAATGTGGCGTGGGAAAGTTCCTGCCATGGGGAGTGTGGCTCGGGGAAGGCCCTCCGCTCTCCTGCCATTGGGAATGTGGCGTGGGGAAGTTCCTGCCATGGGGAGTGTGGCACGGGGAAGGCCCTCCGCTCTCCTGCCATTGGGAATGTGGCGTGGGGAAGTTCCTGCCATGGGGAGTGGGCTCGGGGAAGGCCCTCCGTCTCCTGCCATGGGGAATGTGGTGTGGGGAAGTTCCTGCCATGGGGAGTGTGGCACGGGGAAGGCCCTCCGTCTCCTGCCATGGGGAATGTGGCGTGGGGAAGTTCCTGCCATGGGGAGTGGGCTCGGGGAAGGCCCTCCGTCTCCTGCTGGAGCAATGACACGAAGACGTGTGTTCTTGTCAGTAGCCACAGGCCATGGCCGTGCCAGCTGCTCTGTGATCATTTATTACCAAGGAAATGAGTGAAAATCTTGAAAGATTTGGGCTCGCCAAGTACCATGACTATTGATATTCTTCCTTTTAACCTTACAGAGAATTAAAGAGTTAGAAGAAAGAATAGAAGCTCAGAAGAGACAAATAAAGGAACTGGAGGAAAAGGTAAAACATGTAGTTTCGGGGTTTGTCTTGTTGAGATCGAGGGAGAGGAACCCAGGGTCCCTCTGACCATCACTCAGCTCCAGGCCTCAGGGAGAGCAGACTTAGCTCCCAGCAGCAGCAGGAGGCGGCCACCTGAAGGCTGGGTGGAGCTGAGTGGAAAAAACCTTCTGGGTGGTGGCCACAAGGGCTCTGAACCGGGAGATGGGAGCCCCGGGAACTGGGAATGCCCCTGCCAGGGCGCACCGTGGACCTCAGAGCAGCCATGCCTCTTGTGGCTTCAGTTTCCCTGTCTGGAGCCAACGGCCTCGGGTTCCTTCCCTCACTGGAGCCTGGGCCGTGTGGGTGCCTCTGAGCCCTGCAGGTTCACCCTGTGTTGGTCTAAAAGTCAAGTTCCCAGATCAGAAGCGCCCGTTGAAGGGTGTTTAGGTTGAGGCCACGCCAGGGCTGGGGAGGGCTGTCCATGAGATGTAGGGTCATGGTGAGGAGGGCACGGCAGAGAATCCCGACTCTCCTCTCCGGGGGTGCCTGCAGGCTTTCAGGGCGGGCAGGTTCTCCCACGTGGGGCTGGTTCAGTGGTGTCTGGGGTGAGATAACACATTCACTCAGTTGTGACCGGTCCTGCCTGTGCGGTGGAGCTCACTGAAGTGACCAGCTCCCACTGAGGGCTGAATGAAGTGGCCAGTGGTCCCACCTTCCGTCTCGTGCTTCTGGAGAGAACAGGAGGCTGGTGTTTGGATGCCCCTATGGTTGACATGTGCTGGGCTGAGCCCACAGATGCTCTGTGCTTGCCAGGAGAGACCGGGTCCCTCTGGACAGCAGTTGCCTTAGAGGGGCCTTGTGTCACCCCACACCCCACCCTAGCCCTGCCCCAGCCCTTGTAGGCAGAGCGCCCTTCCGCTGGGTTCTCACTGCTGTGGGCAAGAATCATCATCCCGAGGAATGAGTTACACAAGGCACAGCCTTTGCGGCCCCAGTAGACACCAGGCCACATGAGGAGGCACCCGCTAGCATCCGGGCACCTGGCAGCGGCGGGAGGGTCACAGCATTCTTGGGGCTTGAGCCTCAAAGAGGGCAAAGCCTTTCCCCCAAACCAGATGTCTGTTTCATTTTGTATCTTCACCTAAGGACATTTGTTTATATTAAATACTAGAAAAGTGTGAGGGCTGGGCATGGTGGCTCATGCCTGTAATTCCAGTACCTTAGGAGGCTGAGATAGGAGGGTCGCTTGAGCCCAGAATTTTGAGACCAGCCTGGGCAACATAGCAAGACCCTGTCTCTAGAAAAAAATTGAAAAAATACCTGGTCATGGTGGCACGTGCCTATGATCTCAGTTACTCGGGGGCTGAGGTGGGAGGATCTCCTGAGCCTGGGAGGTTGACGCTACAGTGAGCAGTGATTACCCCGCTGCAGTCCAGACTGGGTGACAGAGTGAGACCCTGTCTCCAAAAAACCCAAAAAACAACAAAAAATAGATCAGGTGTTATTTCTGAAATCTAGCTAAATCGCTCTTCACTTCCAAGCAGTGTCCTATGCCCGATTTTCTCTGGTGTCCAGATGGGCCTGGCTCCCAACCCCCTGCCCAGAATCAGGCCTGGCGAGCTAAATCTGCTCGGGGTGCTGCCTACCCTGGGACTGAGACTGGAATATTGCCACAGGAGTGCTGTTGTTTCCTGGGCATTTGGAACGTCTGCCACTGAAAATTCCTGCAGCAGGTCTCAGTGGTGGGTTTTGCTTCAGGGAGGAGGAGACCCGGTCCCCAGGAGGCTGGCCTTGCGGTGCCGGGGACATGCTGGGTGTGAGGACCAGCGCCCACCGCCCACGTCTGCAGGGTGCAGGGTTCCCCAGAGCATTCCTAGGGCTGGCAGCACCGCCCCTCAGACCCAGGGGTTTGGGCAGCGTCCCCCTCCCTCCCTCGGAGAGTCCTAAAGCTCGTCCTCCTGCTGGCAGCTCTGCTGCTTCAGTCTGATCGTGTGTATTTCTTGCCAGAAGCGCTACAAACTCTTTTTTCTCTTTCTTTCCTTCCGTTTCTCCATCCTCCCCTTTCCGTTTCAGTTTTTATTTTTGTTCTTGTTTTTCTCCTTAGCTTTCATTCTCTGGTCATAGGCCATCTTGGCACCCTGACGTGGTGAGTATTTGACGGGGCTGGCAGGGGTCCCACTCTGCCTCCCAGAAGACACCTCGGCCCTGCCCTGCCAGGGAGCTGCCTGCCGTCTGATAAACCGAAAGGCGATGACCTTCCCAGAAGGATTGTTAGAACCGGAAGCCGCTCCCTGGGGGTCAGGACCCGGAGGTCTTCCGCTGTAGAGGCTGCCAGGCGCTCTCCTTTCCTGAGAGGGAAGAAGGGCAGGCTCCCCCCACCACCCTCCGGTGTAGCAGAACCACCCAGGATCCTCTCTAGGGGGCCTTTCTGCTTCTGTGGCACTTGGCAGCCGGCCCTGGGGGCAGACACCGTGGTTCTGTGACTCGTCCTCATTGTTTTCCGGGTGGTGCCGAGCACGGGTTGGCTGGAGATTCAGCTGAGAGGGCTTGCCTCCCTGCCAGGCGGGGGTGGCTCAGGCCAGGCTAGTTGGAGTCGTGGGTGACAGCGGCTGCTGAGACGGCCGGGTCACACGCCAGCTAGAGGGCTGCCTCCCTCCAAACTAGAAGAGGGGCAAGTGGGACATCACACCATCGTTCATCTCGGTCCTGGAGTCCCCAACCTTCAGCAGGTCCCCAGAGGAGCTTCCCCTGGTGGAAGGAGTCTCCCTTTCCAGGAAGGCCCCTCACCCCTCACCCCTCACTCCAGCCGAGCAGAGCCTTGCTGACATTTGTGTTTCTTTTCTTCCAGCCCCACGTTGAATCGGACCCTTTTCCTCCAGTGGGACCAGAGAGCAGGGACACGATGGGACGTCACGTCTCCACTCTGAAGACCCAGGGAGGTTTGGTCTCTGTGCGCCCGTCCCGTGGAGGAAGAGTGAGGAGGGGCAGCGTGCGTGGCACGGAGCTCCCATCCACCCGGGATGCGCTGGAACTAGAACTGGCCCCTCTGACTTCTCAGGGGCTTCTCCCGGGGAGCCCGCCCTTGGCTGCTGGACCCTGGGTCCCTTCTCCTGGACCACAGCTCCCATCCCAGTTGCAGGGATGTGTGACATTCCCTGCCAAGCAGGGGTGAGAACCGCTTCTGTGAGAAGCACCAGCCTCGGCCCCCGCCTCTCTCGGTTCTCACTGTAGCTGCCACTGGTATCTGGAGGAAGATTTTCAGAAACAGCAGAGGCTGGGCCTGGTGACAAGATGAGGTTGAACACGGGGGCCTGGACGGCAACCTTCACTCAGAGGAAGCTGCAGGCTCCCTGGGTTGATCCGGGAGGGCTTCGGACACCTCAGGGGCCCCTCTGATGCTGCGATGTGTTGCTGGGGTCCTGAGTACTTGCTGGCCAACAGGCCCCACACCCACCCTTGTTCATCATCATCTCTGGGGGAACAGACGAGCCGTGGCTGCTGTAGGCCTCGTGGTGCCATCAACCCTCTGCCTCCCCCAGCCTGAGAAAGGCCATGATCCTGCCCAAGTCGCCAGCCGGGAGCACCGCAGGACTGAGTGGAGGAAGGCGTGGGGAGCGTGGTGACGGGAGGTGGGACAAGGGGGCAGAGCCGGCTGGAGCACGGATGCCAGAGGCTGCCTCCATAGTGCATCTCCGGAAGCCACGGAGGCCTTGAGTGCCCAGAGCTACCCGGCCTGGAAGCCCCTGCACAGCCCTGACCTGCGGGCCACAGACCCCAGTGAGCCCCAGTCCCCGGTGGGCCCTGAAGCCTCACCCCAAGCCGTCGCACACAAGGGGCAGCCCAGGGGAGGGACACGGACACACCCGTGGCTCTACTGGTGTAGGAAGGGATCCGTGGTCCAAGTGGCTGACAGGTAAGGTCTGTCCACGGGAATGGCTTTCCTCTCCCGCCCTGTGTGGTGACCCAGCACCGGCCCACACACCTCCTTCCTGGCCTGCCCTGCCCATGCTGCTTAGGGAATGCGGCCCCATCTGAGATGAGAATTAAATTCACGGACGCACCCTCCCTGCGAGGTGAGCGGAAGCTTCCCCTCCACACCTCTTCGTCCCAGTTTGCACCCGCATGGCTCTGCCACCACCCCCACATGCTGACCCATTAGGATCACCTCTCCCACCACTGATGGGACAGAGCCAGGGGGTTGTGTGGGGCGTGGCATGAACAGTGGCTGGGGCAGGGGTGGGGTGCACGGGTGTGAGGCAGGTGCTGCAGATATGGGGCACCACAGGTACCTGGCCTCTGCCCACTCGCAGGAAGAGTATTGCGTGGAAAAGGAGAAACCCCGCAGGTGCACCGAGGCCACCCTCGTGTCCCTCCCTCCCTCCCTCCCTCCCTCCTTCCTCCTGTGCTTCCCTCCCTCAGTCCCTCCGTGTGTGCCTCCCTCCCTCCCTCCACATGTGCCTCCCTCCCTCCCTTCTCGTGTCCCTCCCTCCCTCCCTCTTTGTGTTCCTCCCTTTCTCCTCATGTCCCTCCCTCCCTCCCTCCCTCATGTGCCTCCCTCCCTCCCTCCGTCTCTCCCTCCCTCTCTCCCTCCCACCCTCCATGTTTGCCTTCCTCCATGGCTCCCATGCACCTGACCAAGAGCGCTGTCCCATACTCAGACCCGGCACCCTTGGTGTCCTCTCTGGGGAGGTGGTGCTGGTTGCTCCCAGCAGGGGAAGAGGTCAGGACTGGGCAGGACAGGCCCCACCATGGCACTTTTCCTTGCCAGCAGGATTCCCTGTGGGAGAGTCTGAAGATCTGTAGTGTCTGTGGGACTCTGTGGGGCTCTGGTTCAGGGTTAGCCAGTTCTTGGGGAGGAAGTGGCAGCTCCATGGGAGCTCCCCAGGGAGCACTCCATGTCCCCCACCTCCAACCCACACCCTGTCCGAGAGCCACCTGTGTCTCCCACGGCAGGCAGCGGCCAGGGACCACAGGCACTGCTGTTTCCGGGAGAGCTCCCCTGCATAGAAAATGGTAGGGGGACGGGGAGGTGCAGTGACCACTCTCGACTCGGGAAGGGACAGACAGCTCCATCCTGCAGGTCCCCTGGGCCCACATTGACAGGCACAGCATGGACAAGGCGCTGTCCTCATGTGGGTCAGACCTGGGAACCAGGCAGGATCTGCCTCCTGCCTCCCCCAAATGTGCCAGGCACAGACTCCAGGCAGAAAGTTCACTGCAGGGGGTTATTCTAGAAGGAGCAGGAGACCAGCAGCCCCAGCCCTGGCACACAAGGGTGCCGCAGGCCCACCAGCCCTCAGGACGCAGCTCCCATGACTGCCAGGAGCTCTGGCTGCCTGCCCGGGGACTCTGGTCCACAGCAAGTGCCAGAGCTCCAGATGCGGCGTTTCCAGCTGTGTGGCAAGGATGGCACAGTCACAGGGTGGGGGCTCCACACATGGCATTTCCACCTGTGTGTAAAGGATGACGCCTCACAGGGCAGGGTTCCACACGGCGTTTCCAGCTATGTGGCAAGGACGCAGTCTTTGGCGCAGTCACAGGGCGGGGTCTTCACCTGCCTCCGGGTCACCGGAGGGTGGCTGGGGCGGTGAACACCCTGCAATGCAGCGACACACACAGTGTGGACACGCGCACATCCTGCAGAGGCTTCCCGGCTGCGTCACTCCCACCCCGTGGGCCATGCCTCACAGTGGAGCAGGTAGATTGTCCAGGCTGTGCTGAGCCTCTAGCAGGTCCCCTCTGACAAGTTTCAGAGGGGACCCCCGGCCAGGAGAGGGGGGCCAGAGGAGCAGGGCCCCCATAGCTGCCCTCGGTGACATCTGGGACTTGGACATCCATGGGCGGCCTCCCTGCATGGAGCCATTTCCTGGGTACGGGAGCTGGAGTTGACCTGGAGCTTCTCCTGCTCCCAGTGTGTGTCCATGGGCCAGTCAGGGGAGACAGGCCACACCTCACTGGGGAAGGGCACAGCCAGCAACGTGCAGACTATGCCTCAGGCCTGTGGCCACGGCCGGACAGAGGTGGGCGGTGCTGCTCTGATCAGGGGCTGACAAGCTGCAGAGCAGCCTCCGGCCGGGGTAACACCCTCTCGGAGCCACACACAAGACTGTCCTCAGCCGGTTCCACCAGCCTCCCAGGATCATAGAGCGAGCCTCCAAAGCAAGACGTGCGTGAGCCAGTGAGCCCCAAGCCATCGTGCTGCACCAGCCGAGAAGCCCTGTGGCTGCCCCGAGGGGCGGGAGACCCATGGGCAGAACCCTGTCCCTGCCCAGAGCACTGGAAGCTCTGAGTCCCTGCCCAGAGCACTGGAAGCTCTGAGTGGCGACACCCTCTTGAGCTTCTTGGGTCAAATGAGGAGAGGAGAGCGATGCCTTCATGGGCCCCCTTGGGGGAGGTGACAGAGCACAGCAGTGGCTTTGGGCCAAGGCCAGCAGCCCCCGGGGCTCCTCTGAAGTGAGCCCGCCGTCATCCTCTCCGATCCTCTCCCACCTGCCTGAGTGTGCAGGCACAGCCTCAGTCTGAAGGGTGGCAGGAAAGAGCTGCGACTGAAGTTGCAGCCAGCAGGGAGCCTTCGTGCCGTGGTCCCCACTCCCAGTCCTGGACCACCAGCCCCACGCCCATCAGAAGCAGAGGGCCCTCACCGCAGGGCGGCAGGTGCGCTGCGTGCTCTTCTCTGTGGCAGAGGAATCACGAGGGTCTGTTCGAGTGTATTTTCAGACAGTAAAAGTGACACGTGCTTTCTCGTTCAGCATCTCCTTTCTCTCCAATTAGCTTCTTCCCCCCAACTTTTGATACTGAAATAATTTTGGATCTAAAGCTGTCCAAATCGTGTGGAGGGTCCTGTGTACCCTTCAGCTGGCTTCCCCTGATGTCCCCGTCTTGCAGAATCGTGTTACACTTGCAAAACCCTAAAAACTCAGCCACACCCTGGGCTCTGTTTCGCCAGGTTTTCTCCGGGCAAATGCTCCTTCCTGCTCCAGGATCGCACCCTGCACCTGCCCAGCCTGCCTCTCGTGCCTGCCACCGGGAGAGGCTTTAGTTCTTCCTCCTCGCTCTTGACCTTGATGCTTGGATCAGAACTAGCTGGTTATTTGGCGAAGGTTCCTCGGGCAGACCTGCCTGGCCTGTGGTTCCTGGAGATAGTGCATCTGGGGTAAATGCCCAGATTGGTGGACCCTAATGTACCCACCAGCGTGCCTGGTGTGGGTGTGTTTCCTCGCTGACCCCGGAAGCTTGAGCACCTGGCTGAAGGGTCTCCTGTAATCGAAGTGTGTGTCAGGGGAGATTCACAGAGACTGAAGAGACCACGTTTCTCCAGGAATGTCCCTGCAGTGTCTGCACCATGCTGGATCTTCCCTGCAGCACTTCCTCCCGTGGGGACGTCCTCTCCCGCTTCCTCCTATTTCTTTGGTTAGAATTTTCCTGTAGAGAGGACCTGCGCCTTTTCTCCTATTTCTTTGCTTATTTATTGCACTGTGTGCTTCTGGCCATTCAGTCTGTCCCTGGGTCGTGGCCCGGAGAGGCTTCGACAGTCTCCTCACTCAGATGCTCCAGCAGGCCCTGAGGGCCTGTGCTGCTGGGAACTCTCTTCCTCTCCGTCCCTGCAAGGCGGGCTCCATGACCCGTTCCCCAAGGAGTTCTGGTTTCTGTGCTGGAGAGCAGTGTTCAGAACCAAGGTCTCCAGACCGACGGGGGTGTCCTTGTTGCTACTGGGGTGACAGTATTTCCAGGTCCTCTTAAGACAGCCTAGAAATACGAGTGGGAACCAGCCTGTGTGCACCCATCAGACACGGCCTGGAAATATGTGTGTGAACAAACTTGTGGACACACACACACCTGTGCTTCCCTCCCTCTCTCTTCCTCCTCTCTCCCTCCCTCCCTCTTCTTCTCCCCCTCTCCCTCCCTCCCTCCCTCCCCCTCCCCCTCCCTCCCCCTTCCCCTCTTTCCCTCCCTCCCTCCCCCTCCCCCTCCCCTCTCTCCCCCTCTCTCCCTCCCTCCCCTCTCTCCCCCTCTCCCTCCCTCCTGCCTCTCCTCCTCTCTCCCTCCTGCCTCTCCCCCTCTCTACCTCCCTCCCTCTCTCCCTCCCTCCCCCTCCCCCCTCCTGCCTCCCCCCTCTCTCCCTCCCCTCTCTCCCTCCCCTTCTTCTCCCCCCTCCCCTCTCTCTCCCTCCTGCTCTCTCTCTCTCTCCTTCCCCTCTCTGTCCCTCCCCCTCTCTCTCCCCCTCCCCCTCTCCCTCACTCCCCTTCTCCCTCATCACCTACCTACCTATCTCTCAAACACTGTTAGGAAAGCATGCGGGTGTAGTGACGCCCCTGATTCCAGGCTCTGGTGCACAGTCCCCCCGCCCTCCTCTCCTTGTGGTACCGTCTTCCTTTGCTGGTAGCGGACGCTCGGTGCTTGCCGTCTGCAATGTACCTGCTCACCTGTTCACCGGGGCACTAGCGTCCGCCAGGCACTTCGGGGTTGCTAACCCACAGCCTCTCAGGAGCCGCTGCCCCAGCTAGAGCACAGCTCCTTCTCCCTCAGCCTCATGGCATCCACACAGGGTACTGTTCTCCAGACAACGCGGTGGCTTCTCTCCTGACCCGCCCTCCCCGGGGCTGCTCATGTGCAATGCAGCTAGGTGCCTTCATGCAGTTGGCATTTCCTTCCCTGCTTCACATAGACTTTCTGAAAAAATTTACTTGTAGTACAGTGGGCTGTGGTCTGCTTGTGGTGCTGTGGGGCGTTTGTCGTGGTCTACAGTGCTTGTGGTAGTGTGTGGTGGTCAGTGGTATGTGCATGGCGGTGTGTTCTGTGCTAGTGTATAGTGACTTATGTGTGGGTTTGTGGTAGTCTCTGGTGGTCTGTGCTGTGTTTGTGGTGGTGTGTGGTATGTCTGGTGGTTTGTGGTAGTGTGCGATTGTGTATTTG